GTTGAATCGTATTATTTTGCAATATATATTATCGATATAGTTCAATATATATAGGTTCTTTTTCCTTTGTTTCTTCTTTTTTTTTTTAAGTTTGATTTCATTTTGCATCGTTCAATCATCACAATATTTTATAGAAAAAATTATATTGTTTTATCTTACAAAATATTATATTCAAAATAATATTATTAAAAAAAGAAAAGAATTAATTAACTTTTTAAAAAATAAGAAAATTTCATTAACATTTGGTTCAATGAATATTATTTTGAAATATTCTTATAAATATATCTAAATAGTCTCCATATTTACTAAAAAATGTGTCTATTTTATCATTTCAATTTAAATACTATTTTCTTAAATCTTCATGTCTAAGAATTTTTGAACACTAGACAAATGAAGTATGATAATGGGCACAAAAGTCAAAAGAGAATATAAATAAAATAATTTAATAGAATTATTCTAATTTGTAATGAATGAAATTAAATCACAAAATAATTGAAATACACTATTAATAATTCAATTAACCTTTCTAAAGCTAATAATCTCTTCGTTTCACATAATTGGTCTTTATTTTTTATTTTCGTCCGTCTTACATAACTTCTCATTTCTATTTTTGGAAATACAGTTATGCACTTTAATCACATTTTAAAATTTATAATTTTTTCAATTTTAATTAAACTATTTGTTTATCTTAATTTATAATTATTTTTACTAATACACTTCTTAATTATCTACTAATTATATTTTACTTAAATTTCTGTATCAACAGTAATAAACTCAAAATATCTGGGAGGGAGGGAGTATAAAATTCTCCGATTTTGGAAAAAATATTTTTTGCTCCATTTTTCATCATTGCTTCAAAAAAGATATTTTTCCCCTAATTTTCAATTATCTAATTTTCAAAATATTACTAATATTAAAGATTAATCCAAAATAAATAAATAATAATTAAAAAAAAGGAATATAAGATTGAGACGGTGGAAAAAGCTTTTGTGATAATGGTGGGACCCATTTTAGTTATAGCACTTTATAACTTTTTGCAGTAAGCGTAAGTTACAAACTAACAACCACCATATCAATACACGCTCCAGGGACTTGAGCTCCTTCAGACATTCTAATGCTTGTTTTATTATGTTAAATTTTAAAAATTTTATGGGTCTGTTTTTTTACCGCAGTTTTTTCAAATTTTACTATTTGAATTTTGTATTTTTCAGAAAGAATATTTTTTTTTTTTTTACAAAACATCTCATCAAACATTATTTTTATATCAAATTCAAATCAAATTTTTTCTAAACTCATCAAAATAAACACACTCATATATATATATATATATTAAAAATATTTTTTAATTTAGAATATCATATTTTATCGAAACTTCATACTTCAATTTTCTATTTTTGTCCGTCCCCAAAATAAGGGTACTATTTTCTAATTTAATAACTGTCCGACCTAAATACCTTTCCAACTTATAATATATTACACAAATGTCATCACTTTTATAACACGCCATACTAATATTGGCATTTTCGTCTTTTTTACTACAAACTAATATAATACTAATATTAAAAAATTTATATGCAAAAAACAAACGGTGTTTTTCTTACAGAACTGAAGGAGTATAATATTTTTCATATATTAAAAAGAATAAAATAAATTCAAAATATTATTGTAATAAAATCTTACCTGATTGTATTTTTTTAGTCTGATTATCATTATACAATTAATTATTATTATTTTTATAATTATTAATTTTTTATAAATATATATATTATTTGTTTATACTATAATATTACATCCATAGTACCGTTTAAACAATAATTCAAAAAATAAATCAAATTGAAAAATAGGACAATGTATTTGTTGGAGAATTTTGGATTTGAATTTGTCTTTTAAATAGTTAAAATTTAAATTGAAACATTTATTTATTGTAATATAAATGTGTGTTAATATGATATTTAAATAAAAATTAAATTTCAATTTAATATAATAAATAAAAAGTACTCTATATTTAATTTGATATTTTATTAAAATTTTAGGTAATTATTTAAATTTTGATTTAAATATTTTTTTGATATAATATTTTATATAAAAAATAGTTTATTTTTATTAAAAATAAAAATAAATAAATAATAAAAAAATTTATTTAAAATAAAATACACACTTTCAAATTCTAAATTGTGGTGTCATATTGATAAGCTTGTATTTTTAGTATTTTAAATATTGTGAAATAATCTTTGTTAGTAAGAGTTAGTGAGATTTGAGAAAGTATTTTGAAGAATCGTAATTTTGTTTTGGTAAATTAATTTTTTTATTAAAAGAAAATGCAACTTAAAGAAAAAATTGCTTATTATATTAAAACATAATACAACGTAAGAAAAAAATGCAAAAATACTTCTATTATTAGTGTTTTATAATGTTAATAGAAGGATATTTTTATAAAAAATCATAAAAATATAAGGAAAATTTTAATGTTAAGTATAATGACGCAAAAGATAAATGTGATCCTTAAAGGCGGACGAAGTGAGTATTTATTTTCGTTAAAAATATACTCCCTCTGTCCCAATACAATAGTCTTGTTTATCATTTTTGTCCGTCCCAAAATAATAGTCTTATTTCCATATAAAACTACCACTACTTTTTCATTTTTATTACACATTTGTGATTACTTTTTCCACTAATACACTTACAAGGACTAAAAAGTCTTTTATCCATATTTTTTTTACCAACTATCAATATAATATTAATATTCCTTAAATCTCGTACCCAATCCAATTAAGACTATATTTATGGGATTGGGGAGTATAAAAAATTCAGTATTTTTGGCAAGGAATTGGAAGTCCAGGAGCTCCGGAGAAAATGCAAAAACTTGGAGTGCAGTCATCACAAATCCCCAAAAGTAGTCAAATTTTCCCATCAAATTCAGCTCCCAACTGAAATTTATAGCTGTCCCATCTTCTCTCTCAATCTCTCTCTCTCTCTCTCTCTCTCTCTCTCTCTCTCTCTCTCTCTCTCTCTACAAATATATATGTATATATGTATATATACACACACTTTTCATGTGAAAGTGGCAAGTGTTAACTTCTCCATTACTGCATTATAATTAATATTAATTAAATAAATAATTAATTAATAGAAAATTAGATTTAGCCAAATGGGGCATGTAAGAACGTAACAGCACAACCACAGCCCGTCATTCACTTTAGGACAATCTGCTGCTGCTGCAACAACAATAAGAATATGGAATTTTATTTTCATCAAGTTAAGTATCTCCTTTTACAATACACAATTAATTATAGCAAAAACTATATATATATAAATATATTTTTAATTATCATAACCGGTTTATTTTTTTTTTTTATCATTTTAGTCTCGTAACTAGATCATATATTGAATTAGTAATTTAGTTAAAGTGCTGAATTTCAAAATGCCTTGAAAATAATTTTCAAGGCATAATTAGCACTCTAGCTCATCCCATTGAATTAGTTTCACAATTAAGAAAAAAAATTGGTAGTAGCAGTCCTCAGGTGCCGAAATTGCTGATGTGGCACATCAGATATTGTGTGAATGACACGTGGACAATAATTGATGATCATTTCTGCCAAAAATTTTAAAATTATAAGACTAATCCAATAGATAGTATAGTTATGATCCTAAAATAATTGTCAAATGTTTACCCTTTGTCTACCCATTTAGTGGACATGTGTGCTCTATCGTGTCACACATTCATATCCGGCATCAGAGAATCAATTGTGCAGAGAAAAAAAAAAAAAACTCACTTAGGAGATCATTTATATACATATGTCAATTACAAGATTAATACGATAGACAATCAGTTACAAGATTTAAAAAAAAAAAAATACCACTTCCATCAGGTTTTAAAGGTCTCATTTACTTTTTACACGTTGATTTTTGAATATTAATTATTATGTTAAAACGTAGTACAAATTAATAAAAAATTACAAAAATACTTTCATTAGTGTCTTATAATACTAATAGAAGGACATTTGTAAAAAAAAAATAATACAAATACAAGAATATTTTTAATGTTAAGTATAATGATGTAAAAGGTAAATGCGACCCTTAGAGACGGACGGATGGAGTAGTATTTTTCTTAATTATATATCAAATCGTATATGTAAATAAATCACTCTATTATTACTTCATCCACGTAGAGAAAAATAGAGTGTATTGATTAGGACTAATCAGCACATCGATAAACATTTCTTAATCCATAATTGGATTTAAATCAATGTATTCTTAGTGAATTATTACCATATGCTATCATTCCCTATTACAAATATATGATACGTTAATATGCAAATTGCGATGAAATCGAACGGGAGTATTAAACGCTCATTTGTGGGCCGTCGGATACTCCCAAATGATTTATAATTGACGGTCGGGATATACGACAAACATTAGCATTGTTTAACACATGAATAATTAATTGATCGATGAATAAACATTTAACATTAGAGATTTGGGATCGCTTCCAATTTGGTGAGATGGGATTTCATACCTAAAAATTGTAACAATTTAATTATAAAATAAAATAAAATAAAATAAAATAAAAAAGACAAAATGGTAATGTATTTGATATGGGATTTCAGACCTAAAGATTACTCCAACTGTTCAATGACATGGACATGTGCCAAAAGTTGTGTTCTTCTGGGCACTTTCTTGCCGACTCCATGGACCTCAACGCCAGACGCATCCTCACCGTCCGTAGATTCAATCAACGCTGTAGATATTACGTAGAGAAAAGAGTCCATGGATCTTTCAAGAACCAATCTCACTTGTGTAAGAATAAAGATATGCCACCCACCATTTTTACCCTCTCTCTCTCTCTCTCTCTCTAAAAATTTCCTTCCACTCCACGCCTCCCCTCTCTCTCACTCTATATATATACATATATACATACACATGTATTTATATATGTATTTGATGTAATAATCTCCCACATAGTGGTGTCTCCATTTCTGCCAAAAAAAAAAAAAAACACAATGTCTGCAGATCTTGATGAATTCCGGCCGCCGGCGATCAAAACACAGTCCGACGGCGACAGTATCCGATGCATCGGAGATCGAGATTCCGATATTCCGGTGACCCCTGAGCACAGCAAGATCCCGGCGATCCTCACCTGCCCGCCAGCGCCGAGGAAGCGGCGGCCGTCAAGGAGGCGCGTGGGAGGCACGTGCAAGAGGAAGCTTCGCGTGTTGGATTTCTTCGAGATCGTCGCCGCCGAAGAAATCGAAGAGTTCTTCAGAACCTCCGAGGAAAAACTCGGCGGCGGCGCCGCCGTCAAGAAGAGATGCGTAATGTAAAAAAAAAAAATTATTTTTATTTTTATTTTTTAAATTCGATTTGCACTATATATATATATATATATATTTTTTAAAAAAAAATTTCAAATTTCACAATACATTACATACACATAATGTCTGTATATATAATATTATTTATATATATATATAAACATCCGTACGTGGAAATTGTGTATGTAAATTAAATTAATTATTTTATATTTGGAGTTTTTTCTTGGATTTAATCCAATTAGAAAGTGTATTTTTATATATTTATTTTTCAGAATTATATATAGGTTTTTATTGTTGTATTGAAAAAAATATTTGTGATTGGTTTGGGGTGTAATATTATAATACTTTATTTTTAATTACACGCCATTGACGAGTGGTATAATTAAAAATAAATGGTTAGTTTTATTGCGATGGGTTGTCATTTAGGTTAGTCTATGATAATGATAGTTTCAATTTTTATTTTTAATTTTATTTGTTTGGTATATACGACATAATTTGTAATTACTTTTATATATAATTTGCGAGTTTATATATAATTTGTGGGTTTTCACGTCATAAAAAAAAAAGAAAAAAAAAGATAGATTTATTACGTATAATAAATATAATTAGTAAGTAATTAAAAAGTGTATTAGTAAAAATAATTATGATATAATAATAATTATATGTTAAGATTAGATAACTAAATAATTTTTAATTAAAATTAAAAAAATTATAAATTATAAAATTTAAAATATGATTAAAATATATAATTATATTTTTAAAAAAAAATGAGAAACTGAGACCGAAGAAGTATCACTTATGGGACAAACTGAGCTATGTTTACTTTTAAATTTTTAGTATCAATTTTTTTTTTATATATTTAATTTTTAGAATTCTTTGTTAAATTATACTATGATTTTTTTTTTTTACAAAACATAATATTTAACTAGCTATTTAAATAAAAATAAAATAAAAACTTAATAATGAATCAACATTTAACACATTTTAAGATTATATGCAAGATAATTTGCAAGTTGAAAGATGCATTTAGAAGTTTGAATTTACTGTTTTTGAGTAATAGTTAGGCATTAATGTAATATATATATATTTTTTATTAAAAATAAATTTAAGATATATTTTTTAATGTTTTAAAAATTGTGGATGTTATTTTGTTTTTTATTTTAAAAAATAGAACTTTATACTCCCTTCGTCCCCCTGCAAGGTTGCCATTGACTTTTGCATATTGATATTTGAATATTAATTATTATATCAAAACGTAAATACAAATCGAGAAAAAAAGACAATACTATGTTTATTAGTCTCTTATAATACCAATAAAATAACATTTTTAGAGTAAATTATTCAAATATAATGATATTTTTAATATCAAATACAATGACACAAAAATCAAATGGCAACCTTGCAGCGGGACAGAGAGAATATAATATAATTGATAAAAAAAATATGCATAATTAATATAAATTAGTTTATAAAAATAATTAATTTAAATAAATTTGATATAAATATGTTATTACTAGTGAATCTCATTTAAAAAAATTATGAGAAAATAATTGAGATTAAAAAATTAGGAGCATATGCCAACCTGGACTCTAATTACAAACAAACAGACCCTAATGTCGTTCCATAGTAAATTTCTAAAATATATTAATAATAATTAATATATTTATTAATATTATTAAATTAAAAATAACAATTAATAAACAATAGAGAGAGATCTCAATCTTTGATTCGATCTTCTGTGTATATATATATATATATATTTATTGTCTTTAATATAATTAATACAATTCATTGAATTAGGTTCAACTAATTAGACATCGAACAAGTTACTATTATTATTATTATTATTATTATTATTATTATTATTATTATTATTGATGGAATAATGATTATTCTATTTAGATTCAACATACATAAAGCTTGATATTGATTTTTTTTTAAAAATACAAATATACCCTCTCCGTCCCACTTTATATTTAAGTAAATAATAAAATAAATAAATAATTATAAATTAAATTAAGATAACTAATTAATTTAATTAAAATTTAAAATATTAATAAATATGAAAATTAAAATGCATAATTATTTTTTTAAAAAATAAAAAAAAATAATTAGGATAAGACGGAAAAAAATAAAAATAATTGACAAATAAAATAGAGCAGACAAAGATTATTACTTTAATTTATAAAACATCGTATAATCACATCCAATTAATTAAACCATTGTCGAATTTTTGAACTATTTATTAATATTTTGTACTAAAAAAATATTCTTATTTATTTTCTATTTAAAACACTTACATAAAAATTATTAGAATATATTTTATTGGAAACATATCCTTAATAAATGATGAATGCTATTAAATTATGAATTGTTTGGGAATATATAATAATAATAATAATAATAATAATAATAAGAACTTTTGATGGGATCATCAAATTGTCAATTAATTGTTTATTTAATTATTGGGTTTATTTCATAATAATTTAGTTGGGAATTGAATATTGTTTAATTAATTGTATATTTATATGTGTAGATAAGTTTAATTTGTGGCTGACACTAAACTGCACTGCTTTGGGATTTAAAATCTTACCTTGATTGGATTATTCATTACATGATCAAACAAAGTCAAATAGTTACTTAAAAAAAATAATTATCATCTATATTAGTCTGTCCTATATTTATATATTCATTTGCTTTTTGTACGAAGTTTTATAAATATTAATATTATATTGAGATAAAATAAAAATAAAAGTAAAAAGATTAAATTACCCCTATTAGTATTGTATGATACAAAGGTAATGACATTTGTGTAATATATTGTAAATTGGAAGGGTATTTGTAATATTAGGTAGATAATATAATTACTAAAAAAGAAAATGAATATTTTATTATAGGACGGACCAAAATGATAAAATAGATATATTGTTAAGGGACGGAGAGAGTATTATTTTAATTTTCCATGTGCTAAAAACATCAAATCAAACTAAAATAAGAATATATGTTAAAAATATTGAAAAGGAAAAAATTTTATTGGTAAAATTCCATACTTTTCATACATACACTGGTTATACATGTAAGTTTTGGTTTTCATTGTGACCCTGTTAGTATATATACAACAATAACATATACTCCCTATGCCAAACAAAAAATATATATTTATTTTTGGCGCAAAATTTAAAAAATAATAATATTTTAATTATAGCGGGTAGGTAAAAGTAGTGTAATGATATTTTTTTCTTTTACTTTTTGGTATGTAAGTAATGATGTGATATAAAAAGTAAGAGTATTTGTGGAAACAAGTGATGTATTTAATGAAATTGTTACTTTGTAATTGGACGTCCCAAAATAAAAATATACATACTTTCTAACTGGACGGATGAAATATTTGACAATATGTAATAATACAATAAACAATAGTGCTAATACATATTTTGATAATATATAATACTTCTTTCGTCCCGACACATATTACTCTTTTTTTTTATTCGTCCCACAAAAAGATGATTCTTTTCTATTTTTACTAAATTTATCAATCTTAAACACTATCAACAAATATAAATCAGTTTAATTAAATTTTTCACATCTTACATGTAAGACCAACTCCAATTTTTTTTTTTTAATTTCTATTTCTCATCAATTAACAAATATTTTTATTTAGTTTTATAATTTCTCTTTTATTTTTTTTTTTTAGAGGAACATGGCGGTTGAGAATAGAGTTATAAACAAGAGTAAGAAAACAACTGTGTTTAGAACACATGAATGAACACATGTAACAATACGGCCCTATTTAGAATATGGTCTTGAATAGGGACATAAACACGACCATGTCCAGTGTTAGGGTAATGAACATGGTCCCTGTCACCTACCATAATAAAATTGATAAATTCTAGCTTGAATGAGAACAAATTTGATTAAATAAAAGTTAAAGGTATTTTGAAATTTTGGTATTAGTATATGATTACTTTTTCTAAAAAAAAAAAAACACTTTGAAGTGGAACAGACGAAAATAATAACAATGATACTGCTTTAAATGAAGTCGGAGAGATTATATCTCTATAAATACGTAACGCTATAATACTACTTGATATATAAAAATATGTATACTTTTATTTTTATGTATTTTATTATTGTAATATTTAAAAATCATATTTATATACATAACAATTTTCTTTATGCTTTTGTACAAATTATAAAAACTTCTAAATAAAAATTAAGAATAAAATAAATCCAAAAGGACATGAATATATCACTTCAATCCTAATTTTACTTTTGTTATTGTTGTGTTTACATATCGAAAAAATTTAAAAATCGAGAAGGAATAAAACGATTCAATTATAATAACTTGTATTGAATTGAACCAAAGGAATCAAACACAAAATTGCAAAAATATACGAAGGTTATCTCATGGCACATACTATCGAATAAAACCAACCTAAGGGGGAGTATTTCGACTCTGACAAAGTAAAAAACGACCCAAAGAAGCCCTAAATCAAATTATAGGATAAACCCTAAGGGTGTGTTTGTTTGTGCATTTGAGTTTTTGGGTTTGAATTTTTTAATAGGTAAAAATTAAATTTGAATAGTTGTTTGATGTTATATAAATAGATGATGATGTGATGTTTTGAATATAAAATAAATTTATAGTATAATATAAAAAAAGAAAAATAATTATTTGATTTGATGTTTTTTGAGAAAAAATAAATCTGAATAGTAAAAGTTGTGTAAAATCCACAAAAGAACACAATCGAACATATTTAATTACGACTAATAATCATCGGAAAACCTCAATTTTACACACGCATAGTGGAGAGGAAGGAGGCAAAGGGAGGGAGAGAATATCTCGATACACCATTGATAAAATCGAACGGCTCAGAATACATTCCTAGTTATGACACAAGAATAATGAGCGTGTTCTTTTCGTAAAAATAAATCTAATATAATTTTCTATAAAATAAATATATTATATATATTTATTATTTTTATATTACCTATATAATTCTTTATACTTCGCATCAAAATATATTTTTTAAACCATTTTACAACACAAAAAGGCTCAATATTTGCTCTGTCCCAATATAATTATTAATTTAATCCGGAACACTTCAAAATATTTGCAACTTTCATCCCTTTATACTAATTTATTTATTTTATTTTTTTTAGCTTTATAGATAAAAAATGTGTTTCTTTAATATTTTAATTTGAAATATCTTTTCACATAAAAATTTGTGTCCGTAAGTAATAGTATAAAAAAAAAGTAAACTGTTTTTTTAGTACCGTAACTGGAACCTTTGTCATTTTAGTCCCGTAAGTGGAGCCTGTCGCAAACTAGTCCCATAAGTGAAAAATTTTCGTTGTTTTAGTCCTCCAGCGCCGGAGATGCCCGCGTGGCACACCGGAGGTGACGTGTCCGCCAGGTGTCGCTGACCTGGCGGACACGTGGATTTTTATTTTATTTTTTTCATTTTTAATTTTTTTTTAAAACTTATTTTTAATTTATTTTAAATTTTATGTGTATTTTTTTTTTATTTTTTTTATTTGGTCCAATTAAAAAAAATTTAAAAAAATTATAAAAAATAATAATAATAATAAATCCACGTGTCCACTAGGTGTCGCTGACCTGGCGGGACACCTGGCGGACACGTCACCTCCGGCGAGCCACGCGGGCGTCTTCGGCGCCGGATGACTAAAACAATGAAAATTTTTCACTTATGAACTAGTTTGCGACAGGCTCCACTTACGAGACTAAAATGATAAAAGGGTCCAGTTACGGAACTAAAAAAATAGTTTACCCTATAAAAAAATATTCTTCCATCACAAAAAATATAGTCATTTTTCTTTATTTGTATGCCATGAAAAAATATGTTCATTTTTTTTTTTGTTACAAACATATTACTTTTTACTTTTTTAACCACTTTTTTTTTTTTAAAAAAATTTAATAATAAAAAACAAAAAGTACACACTACACTAAAATTAATGAGCATAGTTTTACACCACGATCTTTTAGTGTCCAATCTAAATGAACATATTTTTACACTACGAAAGGAGTAATATTTTTTGTTGCATGTTAATTATTTTTGTTAAAATAAAATATATACTCCCTCCGTTCATTTACAAGGGTTACATTTAATTTTGGCGCGGTGCTTTAAAAACAATAATATTTTAATTATAGTGAGTAGTTAAAAGTAGTGTAATTACATTTTTGCCCTTATTAAAAGTAATGATGTGATGTAAAGTAGGGGTATTTGTGGAAAAAAGTAGGGTATTTAATGAAATGTAAACTTTGTAATTGGACGTCCCAAAATAGAAACATGTAAACTTTGTAAACGGAGAGAGTATTTCTTTTCGTCTTCTCACAAAAAGTAAATATTTACTTTTTATACGTAGTTTAAAAAGTATTGTAGTTTAATAATAGTTGATGATAGTTTTTTTTTTTTTTTTTTTTATGTAAATACCATTTTATCGTTATTATATATAAAATTAATGTGAGAATATTGATATAAATAAGTATAAATGTAAAAATATTTATAATGTATGACAAGATCCATACGTACTAACAAAGAAATTAATAGTTTATATTTGAACGACAAAATATATATATAATTATTAAGTGAACTGAGAGAGGTATTATATATTGCAAATCGTATCAATAAAAAATATTTTAAATAAAAGGTAATGATAAAATAATACAAAAAGTTAATAAAATTATACTACTACTACTGCCTTTCATTCCAAATTTCCAATACAATATATTTTTTTCACCATTTTTACTTGTCTTATTCAAAATATATATTTTTTACTATAGTATAAACAATTTATTTATAAATATAAAAATACTTTGAAATTTAACAAAAATATCTATTTTTTTAGCACTTAAAAAAAAATACTTCCTCCGTCCTAGATAATTTGGGCGTGTTACTGTACACACGAGAATTAAGGTAAAATATGATTAGTAAGTAATTAAGAAATATACTAGTAAAAATAATTATAAATTAAGATTAAGATAATTAAATAGTTTAATTAAGATTTAAAAAATTATAAAATGTAATTAAAGTTTATAATTATATTTTTAAAAAAAAAGACAAGTTATGTGGAACAGATGAAAATAAAAAATAAAAGACAAATTATATGGGACGAATGAAGTACTAAAATATTATATATATATTTCACTAATAAATAAAATAATATTAATTTTTAATGTATTAAAAAAAACAAATAAGCAAATCAAAATTAAATAAACAAATCCTTTGTGACGGTATTCGGCCTCTCCATTTTATTAATTCACTTATTTTATTTTTTGTGTCGTATTTTTTCATAAACCTGTCAGCGGTAAATTTGGATCCCAAATCCCAATGGGCGACACACATAATGATTAGCATCTCATCATTTAGAAAAAAAAAAAAAAATACTTATATAAGAAAAATATTAATCCCTCCGTCCCATATAATTTGTCTATTTTTCATATTTTCGTCCGTCCGACATAATTTATTCTTTCTATTTTTGGAAATATAATTATGCACTTTAATCACATTTTAAATTTTAAATTTTATAATTTTTTAAATTTTAATTAAATTATTTACTTATCTTAATCTTAATGTATAATTATTTTTACTAAATAATAATTATTTTTACTAATATACTTCTTAATTACTTACTAATTATACTTTAGCTAAATTCCCGCGTCTACAGTAATACACCCATATTACATGTGACGGAGGGAGTAACATAAATCAAAATAAATTAAATTAAGGGGCTGTTTGGTTCATGGACTTTTTTTTTGTGGGATTGGGATTTCTTAGTAGGATTTATATGTGATGAGATTTATTATATTTAGGATTTGGAATCCCATGTTTGGTTGGTAAAATGTGGTGGGATTTATATTTCGTTGATTTGGATTTTTATATTCTAAATGACATAATTGTCCTCTTATGAATTTTATTCATTTTGACAAATTAAACCTCTAATTTATTATTAATGGATCACGGTAATATAATAATAATATATCAACCATACATATCAAAAAATAATTTCGAATAATATAATTATATTAAATATATATTTTTTTGAGTTTAACGTATTCATTATTTTATTATAATATTTTTCTAATAAAATACATTAATTTTAATATACATTGGATCCGGTACATGTATAATTTTAAATTAAAATTTAAGAATTGTAAAAAAAAGGGATTTTTCGGATTCATCAAGTCTTACCGGGTATAGTCTCGGTCGGATCTAGTATAATCGGATCCAATTTGAATCTCGAATTTAACAATATATATTTAGGATGAATATCAGTTCCGACTGAACCCGACTTATAGTCGTCCCTATAATTTTATAATTCAAATAAAATTTATAATAAATAATAATTTAAACAATGAATTTATTAGTTTATTTAAAAAAATATTGTACAATAAAAAATAATATAAATTTAATTAAGTATATAATTCAAATAATAATTAATGTTAAAATTATTTAATTTTTTATATAAATATAATACTATTTTTTTTTTTATAAGAGAATATAAATGTAAAAATTAAAATTTTAAGAATGGGATTTAAAAGTAACAGGGGTATCCCCATTACAAAAAAAATCCCTTATTTGTAGGATTATAGACACCATTTTCAAGTTCCATTATTTTAAATTCCACCTTCTTTTTCTTAACCAAACATGGATTTTATAGGATTTTAAAATCCAAATCCCATGGAATCCCATCAAATCCTTGAACCAAACAGCCACTTAGTTTTTTACCCGTGGACCAAAATTAATTAAAATTATTTATAATGATACGAATAAATATTTTTAGCTTACAAAAATTGATAATATTGGGATCAATTTTGATTTTTTCCTATTAAATAGTATATCAATTTATATACATACATTCAAATTTTTACTGCTCTTAAACTCATTCAAATCATAAGAGAGGTATCCCTACCCCGATCCCACAGACAGACAAAAACACAGCCCACAAACTTACAATGAACAAAAAAACCAATCTAACAGCTAAAACCTCATTCATTCAAAAACTTAACAAGAGCAGAGAGAAAGGTCTTCACCAATGCCAAAATCGGGTTATTTTCAATTCTAGACGATTTCTTCGACCCCTTCCAAGTTTCGCTGCCCACGAAAGCACAAAAATGACAACTTGAAAACTTAATAAAAACTTATCGACGAATTTGGAGGAAGCTGACTTACAGGTTGATTCTGTCCATTTTCTGTAACCCATTCTTATTTTGAGTATCAGCTTCAGTTCCTACTTGGGGAGGTGTCCCAGAGACCAAATTTGTAGAAGAATGCCCAACCTGAAGAAATATCCGATGCAGAAAAGGGATTATTTATTATGAGGCTCCAACTAAAAACCAAATTATTACTTGCAAGAATATGACAAGGTAATGTTCAATGGAAGCGTAAAATAATGGCCGTTGGATCAGTGTGTGATTCGGTAAAAAGACATAATAGAAGAATAGAAAATCACAACTACATGTATCTAAAGCATTTTCCGTAGAAATGAATATATTTCAATAAAACCAAAACATCTCATCGTATAAGAACACAAAAAATTTACTAATAAAGCTATTAGACAAAATTTACCTTAGTTTCATCGAGCAAGGAGCTTTTAGATCCATGGTCATTTGTGAAGTCGTGAAGATTTTGCACTGACTTCTCATCCGTATGTTCATTTTCTAATTTCAACGACACTTCTTTATGATTCTGTTCATCCTTCCCATTAACAACATCCATATTGCTTTCAATAAATGATACCTTTTCACTTCTAATTGAAATACCCGATTCTCCATCCACATCAGCTGTCCTAGAAATCGGTTGCACTGGGAGTATTTCAACAGCAGAACTGGACTTTGTTGTTATAGCAACTTGTGGCGCTTCCTTATCCCGGTCTCCAAAATTCACTTTACTGATAATTTCCATGTCAGCTGACTCCGTATGAGCTTGTTTTTCAGTTCCATTAAGTTTATCAACAATCTGCTCAGTATTATCGAGATATTGTTCAGCTCCATGGCCCTGAGTCTCTGGAAAATCATGATTCTTTTGGCTAGACTGAAGCATCCTCTGACTGTTGTCCGCATCAATCGAATCAAAATTTGTCAAGAGTGGTTTTTGAACAGTATTGTCTTCAATCCCTTCACTTTCATTGATGATATTCTTATTATCGAACTCGTCCTTCTGCTTCCAAGAATTAGAATCTTCTTTCACTATATCTTTATAATGTAAAGGATGAGCAATCCTTGCTTCTTCGCATACTTTTTCTTCTGTAGCTACCTTGCATAGTTCATTGACACCTTGTTCATCATTCAATTCAGGGTCACTAAACTGCAAGCTGGAGCTTGGCATGAGTTCCACATTGGTAGTTGGAGATGAAAAAGGAGTCGAAATATAAAAATTTTTGGGTGCTAGAAAATCAATTTTATGTTCCAATGAACTAGACCCTTGCTCAGTAAATCCAGAAGGGTAGTGTTCATCTAGAAATTTATTAGGAGGAGCTAACACCCTGTTTTCTTGAATGATCTCACGAACAATCTCACGCACTGTATAAAAAGAACCACCGACTTCCTTGTGAGTAAGATTGAGGGAAGGAAAATTCCCATTATTTGACTTCTGATATCTGCGAGCAAGTGAAATATAATTCAATGACAGCATAAACCCAAAAAAATAAAAATGAATCAAGAAACACAGACAAATATATTTAAAAAAATTCCACCTCCACGCAGAAAGAAGATTAACAAAATTTTCACATGAGACATCTTAATAGGGAGAAATGACTGAAAATGAATTTAAAAAAACGCGAAATAAATTCAAGTGGTTTCAACTTAATACAAGGAAAATGCTCACCTCAAGACTTAAACTACTTAGTTGTTATAGGATAACTTAGCTTCTATCAACCTATTTTTACAACTTTGTTTTCGCACTATTCATCAAATCCAACACATATTAAAAATTTATAGTATTACATCAAAAACCTATTACAAAAATTACATCCAACACCTATTCATCAAATAACTATTTTTATTCACCCTTTTACTGTTTGCAAAATAACCTAAAACAACAAAACAATTCCAATATCTGAACACACCCTCAAATTCAGATATGTCCAAGAAGTAAGCTCTCAGATGGATTCTATTTGGCCAGAAGGTCGGGCCCACAATACATCACATATCCTTAATGTGACCTTTCAAGTCAGCCAATTGCAAGTTCATCTGATTAAGTACAAGAATTAGAATCATGCTAAACTAATGTCTCTAAAGGGACTATCTATTGTATGAATATTTTGGAACTGACCATTTTAAAGGAATCATTTTAGTAGAGTTGATTGATGATGTCAAAAGGGATTGTCCTATGTTGTTACAGTGTGCACATATAAGTGTGTGAAAACATAGCATAACGTAATTACTTCATCAAGATTGAGTCAACCATAGTCATAGCGAAGGGGGTGAGCCAAGACAGTGAATTCTACTAATATCTAGCTTTTAATTGACTAAATAAGCAGTTAAGAACTTGAGGGGCTAAACAAAAAACTGAGAGAGCACGGCACAATTACTTCTTTATGAAAGATTGGACCATCGTCTTCCTCTCTTCTTTTGAACGTCTAATCCTCGATTTCTTCCCCCCTGCATCATTGCTAGTGGCAAGGGCAAAAGTTTGTCCTTGCCAGCCACCCTGGATTGCATGCATGATCTATGTGGTTCACAGCAAACACCTAAAATGCAAGTCTACAAAAGGAAAACCGAGGATAGCAGCTTCCTGATGTGTCCACCTGTAAATATCTGCATCAGGTACACAGTCTGGTACATTTACAGTCATTCCACAGGACACAAAAATCATCTACCTTAACACTGCTATAAAGGTAAGTGATGAAGAGAATATTAATCACATAAGATCATCTGATCAGGTAATACGGCTTCAAATTAACACTGGATGCTTTTCAAATTATGGAATAATCAATTTATTTCTAAAACATGCAAGTTTACATCAGACAAACGACAAACCCATCCTCATAGCATTGCATCCAATGCCTAAAGAAAATGGAATTATTACGCTTAGACATGTTTTTTTAAGTGCTTTGGTGTTTTGAGAATAGTAAAACTTTGAATGGAAAATAAGTGTTGGATGTAATGTTTTGAGTTGAAATAGATTTTCTATGTAACATTGTAAATGAAAATTTATAGATTGAATATGATGTTTCTAGGACAACACATTTTTATGAATTGCGCGGAAAACAGAATAAAAAACAGAGCATTTTAAGTTGTTTGGGTTTTCTATATTGTTTTCACACTATGTAATCTACATGAAACTATCCCTCATAAAAGATCACATCAAAACCTTATTTCCTATTCCAAATTCACGGTCAAAACCTATTTTGCATTAAAACGTTTTCATACCGAAAGCACAGGGTAAGAAACAATCCAAATCACAACCGCATATTACTGCAGAAAAAAAAATAAAAAAAAATAAAAAATATCTGCAACAACAAGAAACGAAGAACAAATGAAACCTATTTGAGATTAAGATAAAACACAATCAGCAGCACAAACCACAAACTCATAAACTCTTCGTACGAACATAATTCAGAGACTACTGCTTCGTTTCTACAATGTCAGTTCAGTGTCAACAAAACAATGGCTACTCTTATCACACTAAAATCCAAAAACTTAAGCGTAATTAAATACAAAAGTTTAGAATAACAGAACAGAGACATGGGCAGCTCGAAGGAAATTAAAATGATCCGCAGATCCACACTCAGCTCCCAAAATGTAAATGTGACAAGGAAACTAACAGCTGCAGCAGCAACCATAATAGAGCTACAATTGAAAATGTGGGAAGCTTTTGGTTTACCGAGTCTGTGAGAGAGAAATGCAGAGAAGAGGGGTTTTGATGCGGATGAAATAAAAACACTGTAAACCCTAACTGGATAAAATTTGGGCATCGAATAGCAGTTACGAAGTCGCGAAAAAATAAATCATCCAAGGCGGATGACCTCTGAACACGTTTTTAATTTTGTATAGATTACGAAAGTATAAAAACAAACAAATAGTAGTACATCTTTGAATTTTTTACAATTTATTTGTTTTTTATTTTAAACTTAGATCTCCACTTAAATAAAACCAAACAAACCATTATTACTACTTATCAATAATAGTAAACTCACGTCGGCCTAGTAAGATTTACCCGTCAGACCTAGTTTGTAAATATTAAGTTACGATCGACAATTTACTCAGTGCGCACTTTCAGATGCGAATTTTCACGTTATAAAAAAATATAACAATAATAATAAATAATAATAATAATAATAATAAACTTTTTGAGTCATGTTTACAGGTCATTAGGTTTAGCCAGAGTTTATCGCAAATTTATTTTAAATTAAAATAGTACTTCTTAAGAATTATGTAATGTAAAGTGGGATAAATGTATATTTAATTATAATCTACTTTTAAAATATTGTAGCACTTGATACTATATCATACTTGTTCCGTCTATTTTCTATTGCTCTTTATTTTGTGTATAGAAAAAAAAAAAAAAAAAAAAAGTAAATAAAGTAAAGACAAATAAACAGAGGACAGTAATTCTTAGACATTCTAAATAAAAAAGTAAGATATTAATTTTTGGATGAAATACATGTATTATATTAATATATTTTATGCTGAAATTAGTAATAATATTATATTATATGTTGTGGCTCGTCACAATGACCGCCGCCAAAACAATTGTTACATAACAAATTAAAATAATCATGAACCCACTAAAATTTCTTAATAAAAATAAAAATAAAACTAAAACTAACCCCAACATTAACTAAGCTCTTAAGTTAGTTAAGAGCTCTTTGTCACAATCAGAACACGGGCGTGTTATTTTCCTTCGAACTCCCGAACACGTATGTCAAAAATCCTACGGCCTGTTGTCTTTCATTATTATGCTTTTGTCAAAGGTACGTATCTATATGTTTATATATATATATATATACAGTAACTAAAAAATGTATATAGTTCTCGTGTAGAAACGAAAAAACAAGGCCAAACAAAAAAATCACGAACCAAAATTGGTACAAATATAAATAGAAAATAAAACCAAGGATCCGTTGGCCTTGGCCATGCCCATTTTTGGCAAGGCTTCCGGAATCCCGAAAAGCCGGCGGAGCATTGGCCGGGCCAAGGCATCTTTCAGCGGCGCAAACATCTCTCGTTCCGGAAAGATCTAATCCGTCGATTGTGCCGCGTCTTTCTGTCCGTCGGATGATTCGATTCGATGGAAGAACAAATCGTTACCCCTCCTATCCTGCTAGTGTCTTCTGCTTGTACCCATGCTTTAATCGATCGATCAATTTCTCCTTCATTTTCCGTTTCTTGTCCATTTTCAGCCGGTACCGTTGCTCCCGCTCCTGTTCGTACACTCCTTGCCAGTAGACTTCGCCAGTTAATGGCCACAGCCATTTCTCGTAGGGGTGGTCGCCGTCGTCCGCGGCTTCTGCGAGATCTTCATCCATGCTTTTGAGTAAGGTGCTGTTGAAGTATTTTACCCACATCAGACCTTTGCGCTGTTCGACGGGGTGCTGCTCTTGCAACGACCCGGTGTGAGGATTGATGTGAACTATCCTTCGAGCGCTGTGATAGGCCCATACGTTTACTAAGAGCTCCAAAAGTCGACAGTAACAATGTTTCTTCTGTACATGGACATAAAACGGTAAGGCGCATGTAGTAGAGGATTCGTTCGAATAGTACGTTGGGGGTTGAATATATTCACCTCGAGCGCTGAAAATCCTAGTTTACAATCCGGCATCTTGCTTGAGTTCATGTGTAGACTGTGGAGAGAATCGGCGAACATCCTGGGGTCATCGGCTTCAAAGTTAGAGTTAAAAAACCATTTTTTTCTTTATCAACATTAGATGACGTAAAAAGCGGGCTTACAATTAGGGCTGTTAAACGAGCCGAGCGAGCTCGAGTATTGATTGTTTGAGCTCGGCTTGAACTTGTTAATGGTACAGGCTCGACTTGTTAAGAGTTCGAGCCAAAATAGTGCCTCAAGTTCGGCTCGTAAGGCTCAAACTCGAGCTCGGTTTGAATTTTATTATATTATATATATTTTCTAATATATAAATTAAATAGGACTTCCTAAAGAAAACGGCGGATCTTCCTCTCCTTGCAAACACTCTAAGACGCAACAACGGTTATTCAATATATTTAATTTTATTCATAATTTTTAATAATAAAATATTCAAATTTTAATAATAAATGTAAATTTTGATATAAAAAATTATATATATTATATTAATATATAAATAATATAAATATATTATTACAAACGAGCTCAATTAAGCTACTCGCGAGTAGAGCTCAAGCTCGGCTCATTTGTAAAAAAAAATAATTTTTGAGCTCGACTAGTTTATCTCTATAAACGAGCCGAGTCGAGCTTGGCTCGCGAGCTACTCTGATTTGTTTAACAGCTCTACTTACAATGAATGTAATAAAAGGGTAGAAATACCTGGAAAACATTACGAATTCGAGGAAGGAAGGGGTCGGCATGACCCAGCTATGTAGTGCCAACCAATGCCCTCCGCCTTCGGGCATGGGGGGAAGTGCTTCCACATTCGATGGTAAGCCATACATTCGACGGAATGCATATTCAAATGTTGTTCTGTAGGTTTGAAACAATGGAGTCAGGGTTGTTTTTTATGATATTGCAATTCGAGAAGCTCTGTTTTTCAAGTAAAAGAACTATAGAAAGCATTTCGTGTCTAAACATAACTAATGCATTCAAATTAAATCAACATGAAAAGAAATTAAAGGGCGCAACTAAGACTATAGTGATATCCGAATAAGTCATCTGATAAATGGCCAAAAATAACTTTCATAACGGATCAAAAGTGTACTAACCGACACATTTAACCTTCCTACATTTAGAATGTCCCTAGGCAGATCGAAGGTTAGGCAAATCATGGTTTTCCAGAATGGCAACATCCATATTTAGAAAAATCCCGAAAGTAATAAACATTTAATTGCACGAGAGTTCTCAGAGAGCACTTACCGACATCTTCCTGCATTGATAATGTCGCAGGTGGACCAAAAAGTGGGCAAATCATGGTTTTCGACAATGCCAATATCCGTATTCAAACTTGCCCAAAAGTATATAACATCTCCTTTCGTGTTTTCTTGTATAGCTTTCTCTAAAACGTCTTCTGCTTTTCTGGATAACGATACCTGTAATGATTCATCCCATAATGTGGTTTAGTGTGCAGGAAATAAAACATCAACCGTAAGAACGGGATATTTAGATTAGTCAACTAAAAAAGGATGAGACACAAAGACATTGATTACAAACTTCCAAATGATCATATATTGATGCACATTATAATCAATCGTCTACCTTCCTCCCAGCAGCACGCCACGACTGAAATCCAATCCAAGGTGTTTTGTGAATGTCATTGATCACATTAGCAATTGAAAACATTCCTCCAATCTCACAGAGAATATCACGATAATACGTGTCATTCAGGATGGGAAGGCGACCAACTGCATCGACATCATCTGAACTCAATCTTCGGGCTTTAGTAGACTGATGTGCAAAGCAAATTGAAATAAGCAAAAATCATACCACAGATTACGCACAAACTAAGAAATTAACTAATCCGAATGCATAGCCGATACATTCTCTGCCCATTACAAGACTACAAAAAAAGTTAAAATGAATCAACAAATACCTAATTGTAAATGCATCTACAGAGACATAAGAAACTTACAAGACTTAATCCACGGTATAATGAACCATGGTGTAAAAATGGCCAACCCCCAGCACCATCGTAGATCTCATATATGCACAGTGGCTGCCCAGTTCTTTCTAGCTCTCCTTCGTCCCTCTCATTAGCTTCAAACCTCAGCTTTTCTGATTTTCTGGCATTGCGATAGATATCATCCCACTCACCAATGTCTTTCTCCATTCTTTCATCGATCTACAGAGAACCATGATGCCTCAGCCAAATGACATCATATAGATAACAGTGGGAGTGTTATGAGGTGAAAAATACTATAACACTAAAGTAAAATGGTATACCTCCTCATTTTCTAGCCTATCAACTTCCTCGGAACTTTCCATTTCACTCACGATGTCCCAGTCCTGCACTGTGGGTAACTCATCTTCCAAATCTTCAGTGCTATTCTGAGCTTCATGTTTTCCTGGATGATAATTAGTCATGCTTTCTTCGATATGGTAAAATATACTTGAATTTTTCCCCAGAAGGCCTTCTTCATGTAGGTCTTCAGCATTACTAGAGAGCCAGTCGAGTTCCTTTCTGAAGAGATGCCATTCCCATATGCTACCATTCAGATGAGAAGTATGGCCTGGTAGCATGACATCTGATGGGAAATCACAGACATGCTCCAGTAGTTTTGCATAAGCTTTGAAGCTCTCCGATGCAAACATATTCTTGGCACGATGTCTTCCCGAGGATGCAACAGAATGTGCTAATTTAGTCAATTTTCCTTCAGATATCAGAAGTGAAAAGGCATTTTTCAAGGCTTCAGGATCCTTTTTTTGGAAAATAATCCCGTGAACCCCATCAACAACCTACCATTTCAGAGAAAAAAAGAAGACAATAATTATTTATCAGAATAGCTAAACAATACTTGATGATGGATGGGATTAAAGGCATACATATTTTGTTATGACGGGATAATCTGGGGCAATTACAGGAATTTCAAATGACAAAGCCCTAGTCACCAAGGGAGGAAATCCCTGTTCATCTTGAGAGGAGCCATATAAAATGACGTCAGCCATCAGCATTAATCCATTCACATCACTATTTATGCCGTAATGCTTCAATGATCCTTGAAGCAATCCCAAACGAGCTGCGACATCCTAGAAGGATGTAGAAAATCAATATATTCACCAAATGAAGCAAGGTAATTTCAGTTATATACACACATGCATAAATATATATATATATATATATGTATAACAAACAAAAAGAACTCCACTTTAAAAGAACTCCTTATTAAGCAAACAAAAATAGAGATAGAGATAAACTATACTAGATAGAGACGTCCGAAATAAAGTCCACTTTGAATAAGATCTGAATCAAAAGTCAGATTAATTAATTATAATGCATCAAAAACATCAGCAGGGAAAGTTACAACCAGGAAATGTCACTGAATCAGTGTTTAAATGTAGGTTTGGGGCCAGGCTCCCCCTATTCAATATTTTTTCCCCTTAACGCCTATTTTTCAATATTTTATATTTACATGAAAAATTAATTTTTCATTCAAACCATCAACATCAAACACCTATTCATATTACATCAAACACCTAATCCAATTCAAAATTTACTATTCCCAGCCCCAAACCCAACTCCAAATCTTACATTCAAACACACCATAGAGTTTTTTTGCCTTTTATGTATGGGTCCAGCTATGCCATCCTCATGTTTAAAGTTTCCGTTGAAATATTAAAGAACTAATTCTCATAAATAAAAGGAGAAATAACATAATTTCAAAATGCAAATAGTGAATCCATACCTGAAAATCATCATCATAGTCTTTGCTGGAGTTCCCAAAAAGGAAAATAAACTTGGAGGTAAATCCGGCATCATTTGACCCAGCATATTTGATGAGCAGTGGCTCTAGATCATGGATTGTCACAGCATAGTCCCACGCTAGCTCATTGTAGAAAAAGGAACTCCCAACAATCAAAACCAGTACATCATCATCATCAAAACCATTCTCCTTTCGAAGCTGATCCTTGGAATGGGTCTTGCTATATCTTTCTGCAGCCCAAACATCTATTGGTGATCCAGGAATCACAAAGAAGTTTCCAGTGTCAAGCAAGCTATATAACATCTGATACACCAGAAGGTATAATAAATAACAGATGAAGTGGTCAAACTTAACCGTGTTGCTAAAAATATCGAAAATACAAAATAAAATTTAGGAACAGAAGATTTACCGGAAAAGAAAAATCCGGAAACACAACCGCATCAGCCCTGCTGAAGGCATTTTTCCAATTAGAAATTAGGTGGTTCCAGCCACTGCTCTCATATAGTAGCAGGCGATTAGCAAGTGTATCCTCTTGAATAATCCATATCAGGGGAACAGAGCAGAAAGGCTCCTGCATAAGGCTGCATATATATAAAACTTACAAATCATAGAATATCAAAAGACACAGATGCAATATATAGATCAGAGATTTTACCATTATATTCAGATCATTGCACACTCAAGGCTACTATAAAAGTAGATTGGTTCAAAAGCAATTACCCCACGTTATATGAATGAACACTACAGCCAAGAACATCTCGCTGAACAAGATTAATAAAGTAACACAAACTATTTCTGCACCTTAACTCAAATTTACAAGCTATAAATTAGTTACTTACATGCCCAATGGCATATAGTGAATAAAACAATAAGTAGTTAAAAAGAAATGCATATGGTGTGTAAAACCCTTGTAATTGATAATTGTGTTTCTAACCTTATACGTAATTGATATTTATTATGTTTCTAACCTTATGGAGGGTTATGCATCTGATAACTTCCTGCCCTGACTCCGGCCCCATGAAGGGTTAAATATTTAATAACTTTCTGCTCTGACTATAGACCTGATGAGTGTTTTGGACTTGATTTTGAAAGTATATCATGATCTCTTGAACAAATTCAAGCTAGTCTTTACGATATATATACGGACCCATCCAGATTTAAAATTTAAAAACCTGCAACCTGCTATGAATGTAAAATTGTGGACTCAAACCCGCCCCAATTTCCATCTCTAATTTTATCATAGTGCTTTAACATTTATGTAATTTAAAATAGCAAAGTAAATCTATTGAGGCACCAGTTGCATAGCAATAAATGAATGAAAATGCCAAATTCAATAAACTTTGAACAATAAGTATATGTATCACACAATTACCTAGGTTATAGAAACCAACTATGAAAAGAGGCGATTACCATTTTTTTGTGGAATAAATATTAGCACTTCAGGAGATAAATAATTAAATAAACTATTTTGAGCTCCAAAAAGATCATGCTTAATACCTAGAAATGGCATCCTTGGCTTCAAGAGAGTCAGCAACAACACCTTCAAAACTGCAGGCACCGAAAGACATTAGTGATGGAAGAACCAAGAAAAACTAATTAACAGAAGAACTGAATTGTAATTGAAATAAAAATTAATAATAATAAAAGATAAAGCAAGAAAGATAAATCTAAAAAGAACATACATTGACCAATCAATATGACCATATCTTTCAGGGCTTAAGATTGAGATTTGACCTCCAATTTCTTGCCACACTGAAAGTGCCCCACCATCTCCCATGGCATATATCTGCAGGAGATGAATTAGGGAAAACCAAACTTTTAGTGCACATTAAGTAGATACAGACCTTAAATTTTGGTAACACCAAAAGGGGAAAAAAAATAATAAAATGATTATTGTGGGCAGCTTGTATTGATTCCAATACTAACCTAAGGAACTAGACTTAGATACCAGAGATTAAAATTGACAATTAAGAGCATCAAATATTAAATTGTAGAAACAAAAATTACCTTGAATAAATAGCCAAGACCCTTTAAATTCTTAATCACGGAGTATAGCATCAATGTCGATGGATCCTTCTTCATGTTCCCTATTATCTTACATTCATGAAAAGAAAAAAAGGGGCACAATATAAAGCACATTATTCAAATGCAAGCAGTTACAATAAGTTTAATGGCACCATATATGAATCAGTATAAAGCATTTAAAATATAATATCATGTGATAAAACCAAATCCCATGTCTTTCTGAAAATGCATTTTAGAAGCTAAAAATAAAACAAAAATTTTAGATATAGTGATTTTCTTTTTCATGGTAGTTTGAAATTCTAAAAAGAAGAAAAAGGAAAAAGGTCTCTGATCACCACCATTAATTAGAATAATTTCCCCAAGTGTCAAGGTTTTCGTTAGCACATTAACTTGGCGAACGACCATAAATAGAAGTCTCACTCTTGCCCACACATTCAAAACACAAAATTCAATAATTTATACGTAGCAACATATATCCTTCTTATTTCAAATAGGATCATACATCTAACTTGATCTACTTTACCACCTTTAAAGATTCTTCATTAACAAAGCATTAGCATTACAGGTTTTTCACGTTTAATTACTGGCATTAAAAACTACCTATCAAGTTAACTAAATTTGTACAGGAAGAGAATACATAAAATAAAAATCTATGCAGAAGGCATTATGGCTTTTCCACCATAGTACAATTGGCCCATGTTTTATTTATCGAAAAATTTCACCAGTAAAGAGAAAATCAAGAGTTCAATGATTGTTTAAATCTTGCAGAGAGTAGAAACTAGAAAGACGTATGTGCACATTTGTAAGGTGAAGGCTTAGTTTAACAGTACTGTTGGTAGACTACATAAATACGTATATAATGATGCATATCCTCATTAACTTAAACTTTTTGGGTGACATGGTCATTTAACAAGTATTAATTTCCATCCTCGATACATTGCCTTAACAATACACATTACACAACAAAATACAGACTCCACGCCAATTGAATACAGCCTTCATCATCCACAAAACATATCATCCCTTCCTTCCATAATGAAAACCGCCAAATTATACTAAATTCCAGTTAAGAGACATTATTTCGAAATCAACACTCCAAAAAATAGCAGATTTAGATATATTCACGAGCATCCTCAAAGCAACTTTCAGCCTAAGATTCAATATGCTTTAAATAGTATGCAGAACCAACATATAAGACCATTCAAACTCAAAATGTGAACTTTTTCTTTCCTGTAGCCTGATTTCTACTATTTCTTCGAATCCTACCAAATCAAACACTTATTTTCATTTTTATATTATACTAAAAATCAATTTTGTCTCTTTATATCAATCACATCAAAATAATATTTCAAGTTTAAATTTTACTATTCAAAAATCTACCTCAAAATCCAATCCCCCAACCAAACACACCCTGAACTTAAACACCAGATAATTCCATGGAAAACTCACAGGTACAGAAAATTACCCTCATCATGGCGAAGAACATAAATTTTAGAGGCTAAAACCCCAATTCAACGAACTTAAATTTCAGCAACACAATGCACGTAAAGAGAGCTGTATTAATCAATCAATCAATCAGTTACCAGTCCGATTCTGGGAGGGCGGACGCCAATCCTAGGCTGGCTTCGGAGCCAATCGAGCTTGCTTCCGTTGAGTTCGAGCCATCTCCGCTGCACGAACTCCAATGAGCTCCCCAACTCCAACCCCTCCCTAACCGACCACCTCCACCTCATTCTATCCCGGCCAACTCCTGGCCGAAAAATGAAGACCGACATGATCGAGCTCTGTAAAACCATCGAGGCCAAACCGAACATGAAAATGACCATGAAAATGCAGAGGTAAAACCACGATTTCCCTTTAAAGGGGAAGAAGAAGAACTTCCGCTTGTGGTGGTGGTGAGATCGGGAGGTTTTGGGCACCGCCTTTGACGAACGCGACAGCACGGCGGCGCTCCCACTGTTTTGGTATCTCTTGAACGGAAAACGATCCCGGATCGAACCCAAGGCCGCCGCAGCGGCGTCGTCGGAGGCGGGCTCCGGGGTGGGCACTGAGTTGCGCCCCATCGTGGATCCAAATTTCCGGGCTCCCGATGCGATTCTATGTATGTATCCGCCGCAAAAGGAAGAGTGGGCGGTGACGGAGATTCGGAGTAACTCTGGCAGCGATTGATTGAGAGTGGCTATGGACAGACACTGTGATTTGAAAAAGAAAGAAGGAAACCAAACCTGCAGCGAGTTTTTTTTTTTTTTTTAGAGAGAGAATTGAGTTTGGGACGGTGACGCGTTTTCCCTTTACGCGCTTTTTCCTATATCGAACTTTTGTTTGTGTTATTTTTTTTAGTCCCTCTTAAAGTAAAGTACGCTTTTTCCTTTTGGAGTATGAAAAATGCACTAATGGTATAAATTGCCAAAATAAATGTTTAGCCCGTCTTTTTGCACAAAAGTTTAGAAATATTATTTGATATATGTGTAATATATTGTAAATAAATGGATATCTGTAATGTTAGGTAGACGAACTAAAATAAAAAAAATAGATAAATTGCTAAGAGAATGAGAGTATATAAAACTTAAAAATTAGTTAATGAATTTAAAAAATATATATAATTTATGTTAAATATCATGATTTAAATTTTTAAATTTTTTTTTTAAAAAAATAGTATTTTTAAAAATTTTTGTTGAAGGTATAAAAGTAATAAATTTTTATAATTGTCTTTATTGTTAAAAGTAATGAGTTTTGTTATAGTAAAACTAAAAAAGATAATAATAAAAATAATGAAAAAAATGTAATTGTAACGGATACTCATATATTAAACATACTTTTACATTAAAATATTATTTTAAATGTATATTTATATTATATTATTATATAACTATTTAAGTTTAAAATTGATGTTTAAATCCAAATTCCAAAAAAAAACACATCCTTTAATGTTTCTTTAAGAAAATAAATAAATAGTATAGTTTTGTGTTGTTTTTAATCCTAAAATTCTAAATATATATATCTTGAGTAACATAAAGTGTAAATAATAAAAAAAAAAAAAAAAAATTGATAAAAACTCTAAAGAAACACTCCCATGATTTTTTAGATCCAATCTTAAATATTTTTATTTATGTGTATATGCATATATATTAATAAATAAATTGTTATTAATAATTTATAAAATAAAAGTTAAGAAGTTTATCTAACAAAATAAAGTAGATCAAATTATAATTGATTTGAGTTTGATATTAAAATAATATTTGAATGTTTTGTGAAAAAAAAAATTGTGTATTTTTTTTTTTTCGAAAAATACAGAATTCAAATAGTAAAATTTAAAAAATTTTAGTTAAAGAAACATACATGTTCTTAGCCTGATAATTTTTATTTCCGTATTGCCTCTACTGCACCAAGCTCTACTCAAGCTTGTGTATTATTCCCTTCGTCTTAATACAATAGTCTTATTTATCATTTTTGTCCGTTTCAAAACAATAGTCTTATTTTCATAAATAATCACATCACTGTAAAACTAACTTTACTTTTTCATTTTTATTACACAATTGTCACTACGTTTTACACTAATACATTCAAAATGGCAAAAAAATCTTTTACTTATATATTTTTTACCAACTACCAATATAATATCAATATTCCTTAAACATGGTGTCCAACCCAATTAAGACTATATTTATGGGACAGATGAAGTATAACAAATTCGAATATTGTATTATTGTGTGTGTATATATATATATATATTTTTTTATATTTTGGCCTATGTTCAAAATTGAAAAAAGAATAATATTCGATTAAATAATAGAAAATTTTATTTGCAATTTGATCTGAAAAATATTAGCTCAAATATCTAATTTTGAATTTTATTTTATATCGAATATTATATTAAATATATATTCATATTATACTATTACACAACTATTTAAATTTATAATTGAAAATTAAATCCAAATTCCAAACAAACACATCATTAATGTTTCTTTAAGAATATCTCAAATTCATCCTGTGAAAATGGCAAAATTGTTATTTTTGTCAAGATGAGTTACTCCAATAAACCCTACAAAATTACAGTTGCTAGACCCTCTCAAGAGACATAGTATGTCTTTTTTATATTTTTAATTTTAATTTTTAAATATATATAAAAATTATATTTTTATCTCTATTTACTTTTTTTTGTCAAGATATTTTTTATTATTTATAAAATATTTTATTTTTATATTTAAATTTTATAATTAATATTTATATTAAATATTTGATGTTATTTATAAATTAAATTTTTTTATATATAATAATATATAAAATAAAATATATAGAAAATATTGTTTAAACCTGCAAAAGTTAGATATTATAATTGAAAATAAATAACTTAAAAAATCTGAAAAAAAATGTATTGCAAATTATGAAAAAAAAAGTTATAAATTGGAGATAATTTTTTTTTTTTTAAAAAATACTCCCTTTGTAATAATTTTTTTTTTAAAAAAATACTCCCTCTATCCCAGTTACATGTTCATGTTCATGTTGTCATTTACGTCCGTCTCACATCTAATGTCAGTTTTCTTTTTTGAAAATGATTATCCATTTTAATCTTTTTTTAAATTTTCTAATTTTTTTTAAATTTTAATTTATAATAATTTATATTATATATTAATTATTTTCATTAATACATTCTTAATTATCTACTAATTATACTTATACGGTGTCCAAGACACCTGTTGCGAGACAGAGGTAGTAATAAATAGTAAAGTTATGTGTTTCTTTAAAACTCAAATCCCAAACTTATCTAAATATATATATATACACATATATTTTTTATGTATAATTTTTTTTTAATTATATATTATTTTAATATTAAACATAAATCAAAATTTTTTAAATTAAATAAAAAGAAAAACACTTGTCAAAACAAAGCTTGAAAAAGGTGTGTAAGGATGGTGGGTGGTGGTGGTGGGATTGAAGTTGTTACCTTTAAGTCATCCGTTCAAACCCAACACCTCTGGTTAAAGCGGATCCGGCGTCCTAAAATAAGGGAATAATGAGGCCTGAGAAGGGATCAAGGGGAAAATTCACACTGCATTTTCCATCTTCAGTTTCTTTTATTTTTGATTGATCGATTTGCTATTTTATTTCTCGAGATTTCGAAATGACCAAGAACAGGTACAGGTTTGAACAAAATGACAGGCACTGCACTCACATAATTGGCACTAGCATCATTTATTACACTGATTCATAAATTAGGTTTAGGAAATGCACAAAGATCTTACCTTTATTATACATACATACATTTATATGTGTGCTTCGCTTTTGTGGGGTTGCTCTTACAAATGGGTGGTGTGTTATTGGCTTTACAGGTGGCTCTCTCTCTCTCTCTCTCTCTCGGGGAGCAAAATCAAATCAAATCAGGGGAATATATAAAGCCAATTCCATCTGATTTTGATTGATGTTCGATTGCTCATTCTCTCCCCTCTCTCTCTCAGGTTTCTGCAATTCAACGGTCGTCATTCCCCTTTTTCGCATTGGGGGCTGCGAAAATTACACCCAACCCTCCCCCTACTTCCTAGATTTTCTTTCCAGAAAAAGGGATTTGCGGAATTACTGCCTGTATTTTTAGGGATTGTGTTTATACGATGCGTCTCTTCGATTGTGAACGATTGTTTTGGGGGAAATTATGCTGCCATTGATGGGGGAAGGAGGAGGGACAGTGGATAAAATGGAGAAGGAATTCGAATCGAAGATCGGGGTTTCCTGCAATGATAATAGTAATAGCAACAGTAATCCTCAGAGATCTAAGAACTTCGTGTTCCGAGCGCCTCAGGAGAATTTTAGCATTCAGGATTTTGAGCTGGGGAAGATTTATGGCGTTGGTTCTTATTCCAAGGTTGTTTAATCCTTTTTTATCTCTCTCATTTCTTCATCTTATGGTTTGGTGTTTTTGTAATTAGGGTTCATCCTTTCGTGATTATATGTTTTTGTTTTCGTTTTTCCATGTAATTTGTTCTAATTTCATGAACCTGTTTCCATATCTTGTTTCACATTTGTGGAATTTTTGGTTATAATGAGTAGAAAATGAGATTAAGAGAATCCTTGCTTCCGGCATTTTTTATGTTTTTGTGAGCTTCGAATTTGCCATTCTTTTGCTGTAATGGAAGGGGAGAGTGATGAAAAAAATACAACGTTGTAATGAAACTTCGATTCGAAGGATTTTGTTTTGGGACATTTAGGCATAAATCGAAACACATTGTAGATTGAATTCGCGAATATATAATTGTCGATACCTCAGAAGCTCACTAATAGAATATGATAATTTGAATGTAATGGCAAATGGAAAACAGAGAAAAGTTCACGTGTTGTTGAAGTTCGGCAAAGAAAAGTTCGTAGATTTGTAGCTAATGTCCGAAGAATTATGATTCTTATGAAGAAATTTTTGTCGTGATGTTTCCTTTTGCTGTAATTGAAGGGCAGAGTAATGAAAAATACAATGGTGTGATGAAACTTCGATTTTGAAGGATTTTGTTTTTGTATTTTAGGTTTAGTTGAAACACATTGTAGATTGAATATGCGAAAATATAGTTGTCGATAGAAAAGTTATGGCAAATGGAAAACAGAGAGAAGTTGTCGTGTTGTGTTTTTGAAATGCAGCGTAGAAAAGTTCGTAGAAGCCATTTTTAGGTAATGTCTAAAGAATTCTGTGACTTCTGAATCGATGTTTTCAGCAGCGCTAAAATTTGTTTTCTCCATATGAAGTGATTGAATCTTCGATTGAAAAGAAATGATATGTAGAGTTGTAGCAATATAGGTTTTACACGTCGTCGTCTAAGTGTCCTTTTACTTGTTATAGAAAAGCTTAATCCAGTTTATCCGTGGATCGTCAGGTTGTGAGGGCGAAGAAGAAAGATACAGGAACTGTGTATGCTATGAAAATCATGGATAAAAAGTTCATCACGAAGGAAAACAAAACGGCGTACGTGAAGCTGGAGCGCATCGTATTGGATCAGTTGGATCATCCCGGCGTTGTGCGTCTGTATTTTACATTTCAGGATACTTTCTCGCTCTGTGAGTATCAGCTGTCGACTTACTGCTTTGTTCCTTGATTTTTTTCTGGTCGATCCATGGCTACCGGATGTTGTAATTCTTGTTCCCTGCATTTAATTATTTCATGAAGACATGGCGCTCGAATCCTGCGAAGGCGGGGAACTGTTTGACCAAATAACACGGGTAAGTCTGAAGCTTGAATGTTTGTCTCGATTTCTTGACTAAATTTATGGAGAACATCGAATTATTTTGGCGCAGAAGGGACGGTTATCCGAGGATGAAGCTCGTTTCTATGCAGCTGAAGTTGTGGATGCGCTCGAGTATATTCACTCGATGGGATTGATACATCGAGATATTAAGGTACTTTGCGACGCCGGAAATTTTGAATGTCGGCCTTTTTAATTTAGCAGTTGTAATCGCTATTGAACGGCAGCCGGAGAATTTGCTACTCACGAAAGACGGGCATATCAAGATTGCCGATTTTGGTAGCGTCAAGCCGATGCAAGATAGCCGGATAACGGTCCTTCCAAATGCCGCTTCGGGTAGACTTTAAAAACTTGAAATCTTCTTCGAATCAGAATGTGGTTTTTAATTGTTTTTCTCGTTTTTATCGATGAATATATATGTAGATGATAAGGCGTGCACTTTTGTCGGGACGGCTGCGTATGTTCCTCCGGAGGTTTTAAACTCTTCTCCGGCGACTTTTGGGTAAATAACTTGCATAATGCGTTTCAAGCGACAATTTTCTCCTACTTTTTAAATCGTAGTTAAAATTGTCGACAAATTTGGTTAGGAACGACCTTTGGGCGCTGGGATGCACTCTGTACCAAATGCTTTCGGGGACTTCGCCGTTCAAGGACGCTAGCGAATGGTTAATATTCCAAAGAATTATTGCGAGGGACATTAGGTTTCCCGATTACTTTTCTGCCGAAGCGCGGGATCTCATCGACCGGTTGTTGGTAAGGACTTTCGTAGGTCTAGAAGAGGCTTCTATCGACGTTTCTATTAAGCGATTTGTTTACGGGTATGGTTTCGACGTAGGACATCGACCCGAGTAAACGACCAGGCGCAAGACGCGACGGTTATACGTCTCTCAAAAGTCATCCTTTCTTCAAGGGAATCGATTGGGCGAATTTGAGATCTCAAACTACACCCGAACTCGCTGTCGATCCCAGGGTAAGAATTCGAGCTTCAAGCCGTTTTTATATTACTTGAAGACCCTCGATTCTTTCTGCGAACTTCTCGAGTATTTTGAATCGATGGAACATATAGGTTCAATCCAATGGAAGTGAAGACCAAGAATCGACATGGAATCCGATGCACGCCGGCGACGGTTCACTGAAAACTTGCGATGCAGCGTCAGCTTCCGAAGCCGGCAGCGTCACGCGGCTTGCTTCCATCGATTCCTTTGATTCGAAGTGGTACGCGCGAATTTTATCCAAAATTAACTCGTAGCAATGTAACCGAACTTTCGTATATCGAACTCTTCGCGCCGTTGTTTGAACAGGCAACAGTTTCTCGACCCCGGCGAGTCTGTGCTCATGATCTCGACGGTGAAGAAAATGCAGAAACTTACGAGCAAGAAAGTGCAGCTCATCCTCACGAACAAGCCGAAGTTGATCTACGTCGACCCTGCAAAACTCGTCGTCAAAGGGAACATAATCTGGTCCGACAGCCCGAACGATCTCAGCATTCAAGTCATCAGTCCGTCGAGCTTCAAGATTTGCACCGTAAGTTTTGCAGCATTTGTTTTTCCGTTAATCATAAAAACGAGTCGAGCTCAAGCTCGACGAGACAAGTAGGTCGAATTATATTTTCAAGACAAAATTGCTTATAATCTACTGTAATTTTGAAAAGTATGCACCATACTCGTTAATTAAGGTCTTTCTGTATTTTAAAAAATATTGCATATAATCTTCAAAAAATTAAGTAAAATTTCCTTGTATTTTCGAAAATATTAAATTAAGTCCCCTGAAAATTGAATTTTATACGGTATTTTTAAATCATGAGGTAGAAATATGTAGATTTTTCAAACAATTATGCTTATTTTTAATATATAAGCTGTTAACAAGCCGAGCCGAGCCGAATTTTAAGTGTTTGTGTTCGTTCGTTAAAGTTCGCGAACAGGGCGTTTGTAGTGTTTGAGCTCGACTCGTTTAGACTCGATTAAACTCATTCGAGTTCGTTTATCATTTTTTTAATTCATATATAAATTAAAAAGGAAATTCAAAATTATTTTATTTATTTATTTTAAATTGATATTTTATTCATTTATAAATTATAATTTTATATGTATAATAATATTTATAATAAATATATTATTTTAACGAATGTTCGCGAACAAAGTTCAGGCTCGTTCGTTAATCAAACAAGTCTGTTTATGTTGTTCGCATCAACTTGTTAACGTTTGCGAATGAGCTTTAACCGAGCTGAGTTCACAAACGGCTCGATTCGTTCAACAACTCTATATACAATAGATAAAGTTCGACCGTGTTTAGTAATCAAGCGAGCTTGAGCTTAGCTCGCCAAAATCCCGGATTTGACAAATTAGATTCTCTTCTCAAATTGATTCGACTCGAATAACATCTATAGTTCTAGTCATGGTGACACATAAAAACACGCGTCACTCTCGACTCCATGCTCGGCATTGTAATAAAATGTGTTTGTTCTTTCGCAGCCGAAGAAAGTGATATTGATCGAGGACACGAAGCAACGAGCGCAGCAATGGAAACGGGCGATCGAGGCCCTTCAAGGTCAGCACTGACGTTCGAGAGGCTGTCTCTCGATTTTATCGATTGTGATTCTACCGTCTTTTTGAGCGCGCCGATTCTCTTACCAGAGAGGTATCATCGCCGCCGCCGCTGCTGTCGCCGAACCCTTTTCATAAGGTTGTGCGTATGATTAACATCCGCCATTTTTTTTATTTTTTTTTTGACACAAATGTGGTTCGTTTAATTCAATTCAATTTAATTTAATTTAATTTTCTTAATACCAAATTAATTTCTGATGCTTGTTTGTTGATGATTTTTTGAGATTCCTGAGAAAAGAGGAAAAAGAGATTCATTCTATGAAGTAATTATGTCGAAGCTGATAGAGAAAAGCATTCGTGTAAAAGTGAGAAATGCTATGGGCAAATTTTTATTTTTATATTTTTATATGACGTAATTTTTCAAAAAAAAAAAAAATAAAATTATGTTATTATTATTTTTTTTGTAAAATATTGAACTTAATTTACTATTCAAACCATATTGAAGTCTTGAAAAAATCACTCATTTTGAATATTTTTACCATTTTTAGTGGGGATTAGAATTAGTTAAAATAACAAATATTCCAATAATAGAGATACAAGTGGGATGTATTTGATCTGAATTTTGTAATATTTTATTTTAATTCAGATTTTAAACCGTGGGAATATTCGATGTGTACTTTTAAAATTTTTCAAAGTATTAAAAAATCTATAAACTTTAAAATTTTATAAATTTTGTTAGATTAGGGTTTAAAATGCTGAATAAATAATACAATGTGAAATATCTAGTTCTCATGAGAAATTTATATATATTCTTAAAAATATATTATTATTATTATTATTATTATTTTTATAAGTGATAAATATTATAATAATATTTATTAATATTATTATACTTTTTATTAAAATAATAATAATTTGTAAAAAGTACAATGTACCAAAAATAATATAATAACAAAATATTAGCAATTTTTTAAAAAAATAAATATATTTTTAATTAAAATTATGAATTAAATTTTATTGTCTCTTGCATTTAAAAATTATCCAGATAATTTTAATTAAAAGAATATGGAGAGAATTTGAAAAACGAGTCATCACTTGGCAACGTGATTATTTATCAGCCCATCGTGGTGGTGTGGGATAGACTTGTGATCGTTTGGTTATGTGTTCAAAACCCGATGCCTCTAGGTTTACATGCTACATATGGTTCGCCTGGTGTGACTTGTCTTGTTGGAGTTGCAGAGTGCAAACTTTTGGTAGCAGTTACGGGTCACGTTTTGAATGATTTTAAAAAATAGGTTAGAGTAATAATTATTGATAGTTTGAAAAAGTATGAATAATTTTGTTATAAAGTGGAGACCACAATTACTAAATAAAGAAACAAAATAATTATTTTAGGATGGACAAAAATGGAAAAACAACACAACTCTATTGAAAACGGAGGGAGTATATTTATTTTAACTATTACATTTTTGATATTTTTTTTAATTATTTGGATTTTTTTTATCTATAAATATATTACATAAAAATTTATACAAATTAATAAAAAAATTATTATACAATGCTATGGAATCTATATCAACTTATAAACGATCCAATCAAATTTATAAAAATCCATTTAAATCAATATATAAAATTTCTTAGTATATATAATAAATAAAAAACAAGTGTTTAACTTATAGTTTTAAAAAGGATAAAAATTTGGAATAATAAAATCAAAAGTAAAGTTGTACAAGTAAACACAGGAAGTGAGATTCGATTTTCTATTTTACTGTTCCAATTTTTTTTTTTTCTTCAAAAATATCAAATCAAACACCTATTTTTTATTTATTATATTACATTAAAATTGAATTTTACATTCAAAACATCACATTAATATATATTTATATCACATCAAATAATTATTTCAATTCAAAATCAAAACCAAAAACAAAAAACTATAATTAAATTTTACTACTCCCTCCGTCCCAAAACTATAGTCTGAGTTGGATTTGGCACGAGATTTAAAGAATATTGATATTATATTGATAGAAGGTAAAAAGTAGGGTAAAAGACTTTTTTGCCCTTGTGAGTGTATTAGTGTATAAAGTAGTGACAATTGTGTAATAATAATGAAAAAATAAAGATAGTTTTATAGTGATATGGTTATTTATGAAAATGAGACTGTTGTTTTAGGACGACAAAAATGGTAAAACAAACTATTGTATTGGGACGGAGAAAGTATTTGTTTTTGTTTTTTATTTTATTTTTTTAAATCAAAAATTATATTATTCAAAAATAAAAATAGAGACACATGTAAATATGCTTCTTTTTAATATTAATAGTTTGTTACTATAATTCCGTGGATATTTAGAATTTATAGCATAGACCCTTTCTATCATGAACAAACTTACCTAAAAACCTGTATTCGAATCTAACTAAAAATATTTATTCAAAATCGAAGAATTATATATATATATATTTTTTACACAGAATTTGGACAATTTTAATCCCTCTTCAAATGGCCCTATTCATCGAACATTTGAAGATGACAGAAGCTGTACAAGAACAACCTCTACGTGATTTAGTTTCACCTGATGTTGTCGAGTTCATTCTCCCGCGACTTCCGGTCAAGTCTCTCCTCCGATTCAAATCCGTTTCCAAGTTATGGAAACAAATGATCTCCAGCCGGGATGTAGCCCTCGCGCATCTCCGTCGATCCAAAAACAAGCCATTGTCGTTGTCATTTCATAACATTTTTCTTTTTTGGTCCCTTCGTAATAAAGCATCGTGGCTCTCTAGATTAATGTCGAACAATGAAATGAAGCCGTTGCCGCTGGACCCCAACTCGGAATACATTTTTCACAGTGGCCAATGTTGTTGCGATGGCCTAATACTCTTATACTCGATGTCTTCTCACGGAATCGTTATTTGGAATTCATCTGCCAGAACGTATACAAATTTGGGACTCCCTTTTCCGTGTCGCGGATCTTTAGGAAGATACGGCATCGGTTTCGATCCATTATCGAACGATTATAAAATAGTTGCCACCGATTGGAATACGAAACAATACGCCGTGTTTAACACCAGAATCCATAATTGGAACGCGTTGAAAAATGTCGAGATAGTTTTCGAAGATGAGCTCCGGAACTTCCCTTTAGATGGCCGTATGATCTATTTGAGCAATTGGGTCGAACCGCGAGGAGGAGCTGAAGACGAAGACGATCATTACAAATTTGTAATGTACTTTTTCAACACAAGGGACGACAAGTTTTATAAATTATTTTACGATATAGGGCAAAGATGGATCATGGGAACGACGTATTGTCTTGTTGATTGTTCGTCGACCCAATTTTGCATGCTCATCGGCGACACTTACACGGACAAGTGCCGTGTTTTGTGGAAGAAAATCGACGGTGGCGATTGGATGGAGTTCGATGACTTGCCGATTCAGTGGACGAAGTTATGGACGGTGTATAACGATACGCAGCCTAACTTCAAGATGTACTTGACCGACGATGATAGAGAGCTAAAATTAACTATGCATCGTGATAATAACACATATTTTGTAATTTATGATTTGATCGAAAGAAAGTATAGTGCGAGTTTGAAGCCGGATAATGTGTTTTGTGATCCTCATTTGATGGGATACTTAGATAATCTCTTTTTCACTTAGAATATATTTGATGGCTTTGTCTCGTCGTCGAAGGATATTCTTTTACAGTCTTTTTTATCATTTTTGTTCGTCTCAAAATAATAGTAAAATTTACTGTACTTTTTCATTATTATTACACAAATACCATTGTTTTTTTTGCACTGATAGCAAATAAATTGTACGTCTCAAAATAATAGGTACTTTTTCATTATTATTACACAAATACCAGCTTTTTGCACTGATAGCAAATAAATTGTTCGTCTCAAAATAATAGTAAAATTTACTGTACTTTTTCATTATTATTACACCAACTATTAATATAATATTATTTTTTACTTAGTATTTTATTTACCAACTATTAATATAATATCATTATTTTTTAAGTCGCCGTAGTGGGAGTATATATTATTTCAAATAAATTTTTATTCTAATTAAATTGATAAATTTTCTCACAGGGCAAAGGAAGGGTTTATTTAATAATTTTCTAGTATTATCCTTCGTATTGCCGTATTGAATTGCATAAAATAGCAATTAAATATTATATTTAATATAATCGTTATATATTGAATAATATAACTTAAAAAAATCTTGTCAGCTTACATATATAATTTCTCCAAATATTATTAATTTGAAATAGTTTTATTTTTAACAAAAATAAAATAAAATTATATAACTCTCTTGCAGTTTTCTTTTTTTTTTTGTTTTTGTTTTTTTACAATTATTTTATTTAAAAAATAAAAATACAGATACACAAATAAATATAAAAAGAACATAATTTAAATAATTACAATATTTAATTTGTATATTTTTTTAAATAATTTTTTAATAATTTGTTTCTTTTAACAAAAAATCTAAATTTTTACTATTTGGACAATGACATTTTTTTTTCTAAAAACATCTTATTATATATTATTTTAATGTTAAATACAAATCAAAATTTTTTCAAATCCATCCAAAAAAACATATATTCCTATCAAATTTGTTTCTAACAGTATTTTTGAGTTATGGTACACATTATTAAAAAATTATAATATTTGAGAATGGATATTTAGATATTACTATTAAATCTATTTATAAATATAATATTTGAGTTATTGTATATATTTTTAAAAATTATAATATTCATTATATATTTTATCTATGAAAATTTAATAATTCAATGTGAAATATTATTTTTTATATTAACAATAAACGATTTTTGCCATTAATAAAACAAAAATCGGAACCGATACAATAGATTCAATTTGAAATCACAATCACTTCCTATTTTTTTTGAGTTTACCATAAAAATCTATTTAGAATGTGTTTGTTTGAATAATTATTATTTTTTTATTATTTATAATTTCTTTCTTTAAAAAAAATATTAAATCAAATATTTATTTATTTATTTTTATATTACGTTAAATTTACATCCAAAATTTTCAATTCTAAAATTTTAATCTTCAAACCAAATCCAAGCATATTCAAAATTTCAATCTTCAAATCAAAATCAAAAGCCGTGTGTATATATATACTCCTACTCTCTTGTTCATCAAACATTCGAAGATGGAAGAAGCCATAGATGAACAGCAAATTCAACTTGGTCGTGCATCTAGGGAATTAGTTTCGGCCGATGTCGTGGAACTCATTCTCACGCGACTCCCCGTCAAATCTCTCTTCAGATTTAAGTCCGTCTCCAAATCATGGAACCAAACGATCTCCAACCGCGGCTTCGCCCTCGCGCATCTATATCAATCCAGGAACAATCCATCGTTGCCGTCATATCGAAACATATTTCTTGTCTGGTCCTTGCATAAGGAAGCGTACAGTCTCTCCAAATTAACGGAAAACGATGAATTGAAGCCATTGCTGGACCTCAAGTCGGGATTTTCCTTCGAAAAAGAGCAATGTTGTTGCGATGGCCTAATGCTCGTATATTCGACGGTTTGTACTAAAAGTGGAATCACCGTCTGGAATCCATCTGCCAGAACGTATACAGATTTGGGGTTCCCTTTTCCGGATCGCAATCCTGTCACATGCGGCATCGGATTCGATCCATTATCGAAGGATTATAAAATAGTCGCCCTTGAATGGTTTAACGAGCGATACGCCGTATTTAACAATAGTACCCGGGGTTGGAGCGAGTTGAAAAGTCCGGAGATAACATTTGAAGATGACATCAAAAACTTCCCTTTCGACGGCGATATGGTCTATTTGCACAGTTGGATTGATCAACAAGGAGAATCCGAAACCGCGAGTTACAATATTGAAATGCACTTCTACAACCTAAGGGACGACAAGTTCTATAAATTTTTTTACAATACAGGGCGAGGATCGAGAACCAGAACTTCATATTGTCTTGTCGATTGTTCGTCCACTCAATTTTGCGTGCTCCTCGGCGACGTTCACCTCGACAAGTGTCGTATTGTGTGGAAGAAAAAAGGCGGCGAATGGGTGGAAGTTGATGACTTGCCGATTCCGTGGACGGAGTTATGGATGGGTAATGACTACATGTGGTATCGGAGGATGGCTTCTTGGCGTCAACGCTTTTCTAAAATGTACGTGATCGACTACAATGATAGAGAGCTTATGTTCACTATTCAGCGCCCCGATAACACATGTTTCATAATCTATAATTTGATCGAAAAAAAGTTTAGAGTGGTTTTAAAGTCTGATGATGTGGTTTACGAACGTCCTTTGATAGGATACTCGGATAATCTCTTTTTTAGTACTTAGAATATATATATATATATATATAGCTTTTTGTTATGTTTTGTTTTTGTTACTGTATTTAATTTTAATTTATGTTTTGTTTTTGTTACTGTATTTAATTTTAATTTATGTTTTGTTAGGCGAAAAATATTATATTAATTTGATTTGATGACTTTGTATAGTTGAAATATTTTGTGACATAATGTATATTATTTTTAATTAATTTTTATTCGAGTTAGATTGATAAATTTTCTCCACTAGACGACTAATAAATTCTGTCTCAATGTTACTGCGTTGAAACCTCAACCCTAACTTACAATGATTTTCAATTTTATTATAAATTGTACAATTAATGTCGATTTTTTGTTAAATTATATACATAATTTACTATTTATTTTCCTAAATTTCATATACTAATATTCGTACATTGTTAACACACATGGTATATATGTATTAACTTTTATTTGTTCTTTTTATCCTCCATCATGTAAATTTATCCTATTTGATGAGGCGCGGATTTTAAAAAAAAAGGGTTAAAAAAAATTATGATAAAAAAAAGTAGAAAAAGTTATGCCCATACAAAATTTATATCCATTTGATCGGGACACAGTTTTAAGAAAAATGGATAAAAATAATTTTTTTTTACCATTTTATGATTAAAAAAATAAAAATTGTGGTATTTTTTTTTTAAATATAAAAATAAATTTGAATAACAATCAGAAACAAAAAATAATAATAAGTTTAGATGAATGAGGCCGTAGTAATTATATATAAATTGTCTATATAAATTATCATATTTTTTTTTGGTAACAATCAAATTTAATTCAATGTATTGTCCGATTGTAGATATATTTATTGAATGTAAATTTCATTAGAATTATGAATATATAATCGAATATGTAAACATTATTTTGTTTTTCTTTTACAAAATTATGTGACGGCATGGGATCGTCGGCCCCAATTGCTTTCCAGCTCCCAACCTCTCCAATAGGAGGGTGACACGTGGCAATTTTTTGTCTAATTTTTTATTTTTATTGGAAAAGAAAGAAACAAGAAAAATTGTATAAAAAAAAAATATAAAAGGAGTTGTGAGTATCAAACTTAATTATTTTTCTTTTTTAAATATGTTGAAAGATTGAATGAGATTTTCTCCCATATTTGTAGTATGACTTCTTTATCTATGGTTAAAAGATTAAAAAGGAAAAAAAAAATTATTGATAAAATTTCAAACATTTCAATATATATATATGGCATGAATCTTGATTCGGTCAAGTCACCATGATACTTATTTGATCAGATCAAAATATATGATACAAGGGTGACCTATATATATATATATATTTCAACATATTTATAATACAATTTTATATTATATTATATTATAACTCTAACATATGTTAAGATATGTATAAAGATATGCTAGTCACTTGTATGATATATGCTTACCCGATCAAATTAGCACCATAACAACACTGAATCCGCAGTCATATATATTTTTCTGTATTTTGTTGCAAATAGAATTTCATCTTATTGCAATTTTAAGAATTATTGCAAGATCATTCTAATCAACATATGAAAAATAGATAGATATTACATGATTTTAATTAAAACATATGTGCCGACAATTCATACTTTTATAAGTGTGTTACTGAACACATTTCTAATGTTGAAATCAATAATAGTATGTATTGTATGGACTATTGTTACATGTTATTTTATTTGTTATATTTATATTATATTTAGATTTGCATTATCGATAATTTAGGTGGCTAGACAGGCTTTCGATAGTCTCGTTCGGCTCTTTCGCAACCCAATGGGTACCCCTGAGTTTGATGATAAAACCGGCCTGGTGAAAGCGAAAACGAAAGCGAAAGCAGTACTGAATTTTCTTATTCCCGGAAGTTTGACAAACATCGTCGATGGCCTAAAAATGGGTCTTGGGTTTTGGAGGATATGTAATACAACCGTATACTACATACGATCATTTTCTTGTCGAGTGGGAGTGAAGATTGTTATTGAACCATCCGAAATCGACACTTGACGAATGAAGAGTATCTGACTCTACTGATTAATTCGATCTACGAAACACAGGAAATGAAACGCCGAGGAATTGATCCGTTTTCCATCTATACCTTTGGTGTCGGTATGAGCTAAAGTTGTAAATGAATCAAATAATTTTAATTGATATTGAATTCAAAATTTTAATTTTTGTATTTGAAATTTTATGATTTAAATTTAAATACAAATATAAAATTTTAATATTTGATTGAAATATTGATGAATATTTGATTCTTGAAAAAAATATAAATATAAATATAATATAGAATATTGTATGCACATATATTTCCCAAAATAAATACATCAAAACAAATTTATTTATAACATTACTTTTAAAATATTATATAAATAAATACATAATATAATTAAAAGTACAACAATATAATTATATTTTATATTTGTTAAAATAAAAAGAATTTTTTTTTGTCAATTTGGAAATATAATAAATATCAGAACTATATATATATATCTTATCAAGTTATAGGGGGTGTTTGGCAAATAACTTTTTTTTGAAATATTTTTAGCTTATTGAGTAGCTTTTAGCTGTTTGACCAGTCAAAAAGTTAATTTAGGTGTTTGGTAAATTAGCTTTTGAAATAGCTTTTTGGACCCAAAAATCTAATTTCTGAAAAGCTAACTTACCCGGCGTTTTGAAATAGTTTTTTCTGTAAAAAATTTTTTATTCCTTATATGCCCTTAAAAATTTATTATACATTTTACACAAATAAATATATTTATTAATTATATTAGAATATTTATTATATTATAATTTTACTTTTACAAATTTAAAATAATTAATTTTTATATAAATATTAATTTAATTGTAAAATATATAAATTTATTAAAATCAACATAAAATAAAAAATATAAATATTAATAATTTATTTTTTTATTAAAATTACATTATATAAATTTTATACTAAAAATAAATTAAAATAAATTAAATTTATTGAAAATTATAAATATAATGAACTAATTGTTAACTAACATAATAAATATATACACGAAAAATTTATTATTTTATATTTTACATTATTTTCAATAAAAAACTATCTATATATTTTAATAAAAATATATTATTTTTTAAATCTAACTGTAATAAAAATAAATACTTTTATAACATTTTTATAAGTTTCAATAACTAATAACAAAAAATTTTAAATATTCTAAACTCAAAAGAATATAATTAAATATATTATAAATAAGAATAAAATAGAAATGTCCTCAATTGTCATTACGTATAAACAACTAATATCAAACACTTGTTTTACCAAACATTTTAATACAAACAGCTAATCGAATCAGCTAGTCAAACCAGCTAATTGAATCAACTAACAACTATCAGCTAATTGAATCAGCTAACAGCTAACACAACTATCAGCTAATTGCCAAACACGCCCATAATATTTTTGTTGAAAATTTTAATTGTTTGTTTGGGGGATTTTGGATTTTATTTCACTATTCATCTCATTTTTTCTCCCAAAAAACATCAAATCAAATACATATTTTTTATTTTTTATATTATACTGAAAATCAATTTTACATTCAAAATATCACATCTACCTATTTATATCACATCATACAACTATTTAAATTCAAAATTTTTACTATTCAAATCCCAATTTAAAATCGAAACCCCCGAACAAACACACAATTAAAAAATAATCTTTAAATAATATTTTCGTTAACACATATTAAAATTCCGTACTTTATAAATTACTCACACGACTTGCCAATGAGTACTAATATATATATATATATATATATAAAGATTATGTGTTTTTATTTTTCATTTCTTTCTACCTAATTTTATGGTTTATATATTTTATCTATTGTAGGTTTAAGATTTTATATTTCTTATATTATATTATTTTTAATAATTTTTTATTTACGATTTATCTATAAAATACTATAGAATTATATTATTTATATATTTTTTTATATTATAAATAAAATAATAACGAATACATCTATTAAAAAAAACAATATATTAAATGTGTTAAATATAGATTAAGATATATATATATAATTATATTAAAATATCTTTAATTCAACTTTGCTTGGGGTTCACGATTATTGCTTAAAATTTATAGGTTTGACTCTCGTATATTTCTCTAATAGTTTAAGCTTTCAGATGAAATAATCATTTAATACGACAAAATCAAAGATGGCCGTAGACGAACAACAACTTCGTCCTGTTTCAGCCGATGTTGTCGAGCTCATTCTCAAGCAACTTCCCGTCAAATCTCTCTTCCGATTCAAATCCGTTGCCAAGTCATGGAACCATACGATCTGCAGTCGGGACTTCGCCCTTGCACATCTCCATCATTCCAAGAACAATCCATCGTCGTCGTATCGAAACATGTTTGTTTACCGGTCCTTTCGCACGAATGTATATTGCCTCTCTAGATTATCAGAAAACAATGAATTGAAGCCATTGCTAGATCTCAACTCATCTGAATACTCCTTTCGAGGAGGGCAATGTCACTGCGACGGCCTAATACTTGTACATTCGACGTATTTTCCTCGCCGAATCTTCGTTTGGAATCCATCTGCCAGAACGTATACAAATTTATGGCACCCTATTCCGGATCTCAGTCTTATCAGATACGGCATTGGTTTCGATCCATTATCGAAGGATTATAAAATAGTCGTCACCGATGCGTTTATCGAACAATACTCAGTGTTTAACAGAAGCATCGAGGATTGGAACGAGTTGAAAAGAGTGAAGATAACATTCGAAGATGACATTAAAAACTTCCCTTTTGACGGCCATATGATCTATTTGAACAATCGGGTTGAACCAAAAAGAGGAAGTTACAATATTGAAATGTACTTCTTCAACGCAAGAGACGACAAGTTCTATAAATTTTTTTACAATACAGGGCAAGGATCGAGAACCGGAACTTCACATTGTTACGTTGATTGTTCATCCACCCAATTTTGCATGCTCCTTCGCGACACTCGCCTCGAAAAATTCCGTGTTGTGTGGAAGAGAAGCGCCGGCGAATGGATGGAGTTTGAAAACGTGTCGATTCCATGGATGAAGCTATTGATTCCGTATCGGAGGATGGTCTATTCTCCAGCCTCGATGTGGAAGATGTACTTGACCGACGATGGTAGAGAGCTTTTCTTCACTATAATTTGATCGAAAAAAAAAGTAGAGTGATTTTAAGGCCGAATGATTTGTCTTATGAACTTCCTTTGATAGGATACTCGGAAAACCTCTTCTTTAGTGATACAACTACATTATATAGCTAAATTTTCTTTTCTTTTTTTTTGCTTATGTTTTTAGTATATGTTTTGTTAGGCGAAATATTATACTTCCTCCGTCCATTTTCTATTGTCCTAAAGTATATCTACACGGTTTTTGAAGTGATTGTCTTTTTGTTATTAATGGACAAATTTGTTCTTAAGTGTATGGTAGAGATTAAAAGTAATAAATGAATTAAGGGTAAAAATGTAAAATTTGTATTTAAAAAAAAAATAGGACAATAGTTGTTAAATAGGAAAGTAGAACATTAGTTTGGGGACGGAGGAAGTATTAATTTGATTCGACAAATTTCTCTAGCTCGTTGAAGGATATTGTGTTAAGAATAATTTCTAATCACTTGTATTCAAAAGTTTCTATGATTAGTGATTGCACAAAAACAATCTATAATTTGTAACACTTGTATCTTGCATTTGACATTATTTCTAACTTAGAATCGTGTCAAGTAGAGTAGTCCTTCACCCTTATGAACTGTGGGAGACCCAACATTATTTCCAATGTAGCATATATTCAACAATCGAATTCGATAACAATCGCAGAGTTCGAATTCGACAGTTGATAAATGAGGGGAAACCCAAGTATCTGACTCTACTGTCGAATTCGATCTGCCAAAAACGGGAAATGAAACACCAAGGAATCAATCTGTTTCCCATGTATACCTTCGATATCTGTTTAGGCTATGATCCAAGATGCCAGAGGACGCCCTACAAGATGCTGTTCCGAATGTTATCTAAAAGTTGCGACTATCATGAGCTGCCAGTTGTCACAATCTGTTCAAACACGACCATGCTGGCGAAATCTATTTTTCGGACATGTACGCCGAGGAGGTGAAGGATTTTCTACATTCGAAATCCCTTGAGGAAATATCTTGGACAACGATGCTATCGTAGAAGGGTTGGGTGAGTACATAGACATAGTCGCAAGAAAGACCGTGCAATTGTATTGACATTGCACGATTTTCCGGCCAAAGACTCAAGGCATCGGATACAACATACCTAATTTGGCAATCAATCAACAGATGGATCGTCTATTCGTCGCAACGCAGTTGCCATGGCGCTAGCATTCTTTGGAAAAGGCCAATGAGCTCGATCTCGGGCTCAAAACATTTTAAGGAGTGCCGAGTAAGAATTGGTAAGAGTAAAGACATACTCGTGCATTTTTATACATTGTAAGGATGGCTTTCAGAAGAGAGAAATGAAACCAGAGATTCGAAAAGAATACGAGAATGGCAGTTGAGCTTAGGCCATCTCGTTTATGAGCCGTCGTTACACTTAAATCTCTCGTTTATCAGACTCGACGTCGGGGCTCTCTCTTGGCTCGACATCTTCCAAATTCAACGCAGCGAATCGAGAGGACAATGCCTCGTCACTCGCAACCTGGCTATCGACTTTCTTGCTCGGTTTCGATTTCGGTTCGATATCAATGATCCTAACGGATCGCACATCGGATGAATCTTCCCCGACCGCGTCCATGCTCCATACTAGCTTCAATTGCTTCTTCAAATCGCAACATTCAAGCGAGGAAGTTTCCGATTCGGAATAATCTTTAACGTTGCGCCAACCGTTCGAGACCTTCACTAGCACCGCCGCCACTTCTTTGTGCACCTCCATGTCCCGAATTTTGGCTATCGACTCGTAAAACTTTGGATCGAAGCAAACCTACAAGGAATCGTTAAGTTTCGACAAGTTTGTATATATAAATATCGACAATGTACCTTCTGCTTTGCCGTTTTGAAAAGTATACTCTCCGTACAAAACACGGCGTCGAGCTGGCGAAGCTTGATCAACGAGGTGCTGATCGCCGAGGACAAGTTGCGATCGTCGCAAGCGTTGTAAAAGCAATCGCGATTCTTGGCGTCGACGACTAACTTTCGCCAAATAGTATTGCTGTTCATCAAAGTCGCCTCGTCGCCTAATATCCATAGACAGAACCTGTAGGAACGACGAAAAAAACTAAGGTAAGACTGTTACGACAAAAGACATTTTTACGTCGATAGCTACTAACCGAGGTCGAGTCAACGCCACATTAGTCCGTTGATGATTGTCGAGAAAGCCAATTGATCCGTTCCCGTTGCAACAAACCGTGGAGATGATTATGATATCTTCTTCGCCGCCTTGGAATCCATCAACGGATTGGATGTTCACCGAGAAAGCATCGTTCGCATCAGCGCTGTACTTCTTTAGGAGCTTTTCCCGAATGGCAAACACTTGAGCTTTGTACGGCGAAATGCAGCCGACGCGCACGCATTTCTTGGTCTTAACCGATTCTATACGACGAAGAATTCGTTACTAATCTACGAAGAAATTGACATGTTTTAAGCAATGGAAAGTGTACCTTTATAGAGTATCGAAACTATCTCAGCGACTACAGAAACCTCGACGATGTTTTTCCGACTATGACTGTTGTCGAACGCCTCTTTCCCATTCGATACGTTGATAAACGAATAGGTTCCGAAGAGTTTTCCTTCGTCTCCTCGCACAAAGCACTTCTTGTAGCTTTCCTCCATGACATTCGGACCGTTCTTGATCTGGTTTTCGTAGAACATCCCGTTCGGGAACAAACTTATGCTCGGATGCATTCTGTACTGAATATTCAAGAGATGTTTGCCGTGTCCCAATGCGACGAGCCTCTCGAATAAACTCCTCCCGAAACGGGCCTTTTGACAAATCTGCCAATACCAACAAAAAGTCGTCGATACTTCGATTCAGTACAAGAAAATAACAGTTTTGTAACAAAACTTTTGTTCCTAATTCTAATTTTTCCGTTACTAATGACAATAGGGACAAAATTCCATTACAAATATATTATTTTTTTTGTAATGAATATGGAAAAATCAAATGGGAATGTCGCGCACCTTGCTCACAACCATCGCAGGGAGCTGTTTCTCATCCCCAACGAGCACGGCATGGCGCAGCGACGGTAGCTGCAATGGGATACACGACTCGCATTCTTTAAGCTGTGCAGCTTCATCGATAATCGCCAGCTCGAGCGACATGTTCGTCATGTAGAGTTTCGCCGAGCTTGAAGCTGTGCAGAAAACCAATTCGGCATTTTCCAGACAAAAGCTCCTGATGTCGCAACCAACATTGACAACGAACGTTTCGTGGAGAGAGTTGAGTTCTTTCAAGCACTCGACTCTTACCCCGTTCAAATTAAACACACAATCGACCCTTAGCGCTCCATCCTCTTTCGATAAAGTTGTGCTTCTCTTCCTATTATCTTTCAAATCGAACTTGCATAGCTGAGTTTCGATCTCTTGGAGCATAGAAACGGCGCTTGTCATTTTCTCGACCATTTTGATCGAAAGAAAACTTGTCGGCAAATGAGTGTATAGTCCTCTTAGAGAAAAGATCAGCAGCTTTCCTAACGAAAAGAATGTCTCTTTGAAGAACTCGTCGAATGACAACCGTATAATCTTTCCGCCCACGCCTTTGGAACACTTAGAGTTTCTCGCCTTAACGTCCCCGCGAGGAAATTTTCTCATTAATTTACTCCTCTTCTTCTTCGGCATTACGCTTTCGATAACGATCCTCTTCCAAATATCGCCTTTGAGCATTTCTTCGAAACTTTCGACCTTTTCCATGATATCGATATCGCCATTGTGATCATCTTTCTCTTCCTCTTGTTTGTATTTTTTGTAGCTTTCATTAGGATTGTCGAGTAGCCGTATCATCTTCGCTAAAGTACCTCGCCACCCAATTTCGGGATCCAAACATCGACCGAGCACCTTAACACGGTGATTAAGAAACACATCGAAAAGATCCTTGTGCTCGTCGATCTTCATTCTCTCCTCGTTCCCGAACACGACCACATCCCCTAATCCATACACGCCGTGCACTAATTCGCCGCTCAAGTAACTCATCAATCGCTTCGCGACTCCAATCACGGCAACATTTGTCGGGGCGCAAATTAGTGTCTTGCATCGCATCCTCAATAGAAGAAACACTAACGACGCCACCGTTTTCGTCTTCCCCGTCCCCGGGGGACCCCATATTAGCTTCACACGGCTTCGATGCCCGCATCTCGTTAAAGCAACGCAATTCGAAACCGCATCCTTTTGAGATTCGTTGAGCCCGAACGAGTCCAACGTCGCCTTAACTCCCGCCTCCATTTCATCGTCTCCGCAAATCGCGCAATTTTCCTCCACCTGCAAAACCAAAAAGAATGAGAATTCGACGAATACGCGACGATCATTGTAACAAGATTGCAATAATCAATCTTACAGCAGTTGGATTGTAACTAAGAACAGAGGTTATGATCTTCAAGTTTGCATCTTTTCCCTGATGCAATGCCGACCAAATTCGCTTGTTCGACGTGATGTTCGTAAGATAAACGGCGAAGAGATGATCTTCGCTCCCTCGAAAATGTATCTGTTTCGGACAAACCATCTCTATAAAAGAACAGGGGTTGTCGTCTTCATCGAATTCCTCGCCGCTGACGACAATGGCAATGGTGTATGGTCTCATAGGCCTATTGAGATCGTCGATGCACTTCGGCACGACATCCGTCAGTGCGATCAAGTCGCCGTTCATAGGATTGTAAAGCGGCGGCAACGATTTTGTCGTTGTCCTGGCGTCAAATTCTTCGATTGTTTCGAGATTTAATTTATGCAGCCATCTGTTATTAAGCTTCTCAGCTGTCCGGACATTGGCAATTTGTCGAACAGGTTGTGTGCGTACACATGTGAGGGAGGAATGCAGCTGAGCGCGAGTTTCTTCGATGAGGGGATTGATGAATGAGCGGTGGTAGGCGGCGGCGCCGCCCGACGGGAATGTGTCGGGAATTTGTGCAACCTGAGAACGTACAAATTGAATCAAACAACAACAACAACAACAATAATGGCAGCAGCTAAGATATTGAAATTGAGATTGAGAAAAGGATGGAAAGAACCTTGTGGGTGAATAAGTGTTGATTGAGTAAATTGGGAAGAGACCATGAAAACACAATGTCGACTAGTTCCTTTGTCGATTTATTCTTAGAGCTTCGTTTCTGCTGTTGTTCCATCTTCTTCTTCTTCGTCGTCTTCTTCGAGAACACGAAACAGGCTTGTGTGTTTGTTGAAATTGAAATTGAAAAAACAGTAGGAGGGAGTGAAGGGTAGGGGAGAACTGAAGGGGCATTTTTGTTTGAATTAAATGTATTAATTAATGTGAGAAGCTGAGATGAATGATGATTGATGATGAGAGGGAAGACGAAGAAGCCCTAAATCATATAGCGTTTGTCTCTCTTCTTTTCTGCACTTTACTCAATGCATGTACTCATTCATTAACGGTGCTAATTACTTATATACTGTATATATACTGTATATATATATATACATGTATGGATGGATGGGTAAAGTATAAGTATTGTTAAAAATAAATTTTGATGTTTCGGTATATAAAATGTCGTGTAGATAATATAAAAATAAAATATATTATTATTTTTTTTTTTGGGAAAAAGTGTGCAGACAAATAAACATTGAAAGAACAAAGCTTGTTATAAGTGAATAATTTGATAAGATTGGATCACCTCTATATATATATTAGCTCTATTCGCTCAGTTTTCGGGTTGATTGATTTTTAGAGTAATGATAATAGATAATTGTGCCAAAAATATAAAATACTTCATTTGTACATAGTTTATTTTTTCGTTTATTTTTTGCACGTAGATTTTAATATATTAGTATTATATCGATATATGGTATAATTGATATATATAAAAACTATTATACCCCTTTAACATCTATGATATTAAGTGATGTTATTGATAATATTTGTGTAATATTATATAAAAGGTGGGGTAATTTTATATTTTAATGGAAAGTACATTTACTAAAAAAAAAAAGAAATGAATACATTTACGATGGACAGACTAAAATAGCAAAATGAATAAATTGACGATGGATGGAGGGAGTATTAAATTAAAATAATTTTAACTTATCTTATATAATTTTTTTTAGTTTTAAAATTGTTTAAAAAGTAAATATTTTAATATTTTAAATAAAAATTATTTTTTATATATATATAATTTAATAATATACTCCACTTTTCTAGGCCGGGATCGATAAGAAGAAGTCATAAAAAAGAGATCTTTCTATTATTATTATTATTTGATTTCTATCTAACAAATAAAAAGTACAAAAAAAAAAAAAAAAAATTCGTTGTCTCATATACCATATCTGTTACACTGTAGACAATGGGTGTAAATGTATTAGTAAAAATAATTATCTTATAATATAAATAATTAAAATGTGTAATATTTTTTTTAAAAAAATAAAATGATATAGAATATAAAACAGACATAAACGACAACTTGAACATGTGAGATGAGAAAGTAATATTAAAAATAAATCAATTTAGTAAGATAATGATATTATGTCATTATTTTATATATAAATAATCTTGTTAATATTTTAAAATAAAAATTAATATAATAATTAAAAACAATTTTTTTTTTTTTTAAAAAAAAAGAAAACACACAGCATCTATTAGTCAGCCGCTTGAAGAACAGCAATCGTACCCTTAAGGTTTGTTTCTCGAAACCAAAATCTTCAATTTATTCTATATTTTTTAAAAAAATATCATCTTACAAAATATTCACATTGTTTTAATACCTAACCTAAAACCTAAACTTAAACCAAAATTTTCTCAAAATTATAAATAAAAACAAACCAAAATAATGCACCTCCCACCGAGCCTAGTCGTGCCCTCAAATCAGCGACTGGATTGAAGTAGATTGTGCTATTACTTTAAGCAGTCGGATTCTCACGCTATAAAAAAATAAAAATTCGCCAAAAGTTCCATTTTCAAAATTTGTGATTTTCGGGTCGAGCCTGTAACAAACATTCAAAATCTTGCAGTATCTAAGCATAGACGTTGATCCTTGCTTTCTCCAAGAAAAAGGTTAGATTGTTTTCATGGTTTGGTAAAGAAATTACAAAACTCATAAAAATATTGTATTCATATAACAAAACACCCTTAATGCAAACCTGTTTCCATCGTCATTAACAGCCATTTTGCATTTCTTCACACTCGGGTTTGCTTTCTCCATCGTTTCTTCAGTCAAGATGCTGGCATAGTTGAATAAGCTCATCGACTCTTAGGAATCTAAAACTCGCATTTGGAAGATGAAGACCAAGTCTGTACTCACGGTCATCAAATTCGATTTGTTTTAATGTTCTCATGTAAGTGGTAGTCGCAGCCCTCGGATGACCTCGGGCAATGGCTACCTGTTTGTTACCCAAAAGGGATTCGTCAATCAGCATCATACTCACTAGTACATCATAAAATAAAATAAAAAAAGGTGTGTGTTTCTATAACTTCATTGCACGGGTTTACTTACGTATTTAGACTGAATATAATGTTGAACTATCTAAGACGATGAACAGACTCGTTAATGAAATTGCTTCCTTCATTTTTCACTAACTTGGGATTCTCTAACTCATTAATCATGCATATTTGATCACATGCTTGTATAAGATCGAAATAAAAGCTGACAAACTCAATGAAATTAACAGGGAGAGCAATATTATAGAAAAACGAAGAAGTCATTTAGAACCAAAATGAACAGATGTTTTGTGAATGTATATTCAATGGTGGTATGCCATGTAATAAAAGAATTGCTATGGCGACAGCTACAAGATTTAAGTAGGAAGAGAAGAACGAACTCAAACCCGACTTTGTAGCAAACATAACAAGAAGCATGGAGCTAGATCAAGTGTGCACTAACCGAATGATTTTGCCCCAGTTGCAGGAGCCAAAATTTCCAATCGTTTAACACTTCCCCGGAAACTTTGACAGATATATTTTCCCAGTTCGTGTGATGAAATTCAACATCGTCTAACTTGTATCCCAAACCGCTACCCATGGCCTTGACAAAAGCTTCCTTCAGACACCAATATCTGCATGAATTAGTATTGACAAAAAGAATTTCCGAAGAAATAAGTTTAGAGGTACAATAATGTCAAATTGACAGTTTTGATTACATTTTCTATATCATGGTCCTCATAAAGGAGATTATAATCTGTGTTACAATTAAGACCAAATAAGATTCTTCCAAACAATATTTCATATATATATGTGTATACATTATATATGTATATATTCGTCTCAACAAAATAAATACGATCAAACTAATCCAAACATATTTATTGTACATGAAAGAAATAAAGTTGGGTCACGATTCATGAAAAGTTGCAAAATATGAAACAGAGACGAATCGAATTGTATAAGTGTACCTGTAAAAGACTTTCAACATCTCATCAGAAGAGCTAGCACTGAAGATATGACACCATTCTAGAGTAGAGAAGTATGAAGAGAAGCTACTAATAAAACTTTCAACCGTGTCATCCACAGGGAGAGAATAAGATACAATATCCAACCCGACAAGACATATTGGTTCAGACGCAATTGCAACATAATCGCCATGGTGAGATACATTAAAATTAAAATTTGGAAAAGCCAATGTCCCGTTATCACAGACCTGATAGAGAATAACAGAAGATTATACATGTGAGAGTTACGGCATATTCAAATGGTAGTTCGCAATTTACTATTTCTTGAAATACAGATTTGCTAGTTGCCAATATTGAAGCAACAATAATGTTATAACTTATAAATCAAGAATGATCCTTTCCAAATAAATCCTACAGATCAACCCAGTTTAAAATGACCTCCAGGCTCCAATAAGCGCCATAGGTTCTTAACAAGCATATCGCGAATTCTTCTAAAGCTTGCAATCAAATTCCTAATTCATCATGAAATACATTAACAATCTGATATATTCATAGCAATTTTCTATTGTTGACAGTGATTATTCCTAATACTCTCTCCGCCAAATTTATTTTCACCTTTTTAATAAGTCAGCTAAATTTACCTAAATACTAACTTTGACAAAGTTAACAAAAATATTTAATTATTATCCTTTATTCGACCATTTATTTACAACAAATACTTATTTCATTCTTTCTCTTCATTTATTTTAACTTCTAACTAAGTTTTCATAAATACCTCCGATTAACTCTTTAACATTTTATCACTTTTTCAATAAAATATTCATTTTTCTTAATCTCCTGATCAGCCCAAATTTTCACGGAGGGAGTACCAACAGTTGGTCATTTACAAATCATCCCCACTTATCCACTCGTGTGTTCGTCTATTCATCTAATTCCCCCCCCCCTAAACACCTATTTTTTATTTTTTATATTATATTAAAAATCAATTTTACATTTCAAAACATCAAGTCAACACATATTTATATCACATCGTACTGTTCAAATTCAAATTTTTACTATTCAAATCTAAACCTCTTGAGAAGAATATATTGATACCAAAAGGTCCATATCTTAGATGTCTATAATACAGAAGAAGAAGGTTTACCAAAAAGGGTTTTCCCTCTGGAGTCCGCTCAATGACAATCTGATCAAATGGAATTCCCAATACTCGATTCACTAGGGCATACTGCAACAACCGGCTTACAATTGCCCTTTTCCGATCCTCAAATTTCAAAAACCTAATCAACCAATACACAGCAATCAACCCATTCATTCCAGAATCCTCTGTGAAAAAGCGAAACTCACAGCCCTAAAACATAAACTCTTATCGATTGTAACTGAAGAAGCAGCAGCAGCAGATGTAGAAGCTAACTTCATTCCTACTGCAGTTCAGCTCAAAGAGCAATTCGAAAATCACGAGGTACCTGGTTATAGAGGAGTGCTGGTGCTGAGGAAGAAGAGACATCGCCAGCGAGAATTCATGTGATGAAGGATTCCATTCGGATATGTCGATCACCCACCGCTGCACACCTTTCTCGACCTCCATTTCTGCGCGTCGTTCGAACAAGGATTCCTGTGAAATTAATTTATATAGGTAGTTAATTAGATTATTTAATATTTAATAATATATGTGCAATGGAATTGAAAGAAACAACCGACATTTGATGATGACCGTTTCTACGCTCACCTATGATTCTCTTCTGAAATTGTAACCTGAAACAGCGGCTGAGTCGATTCCTTGCTTCGCATAAGAGGTAACTTTAGCAATGTCTGTGGCGCACGCCAGACATTCGCGTGGAATTGATGAGATCGACATGTTCAGCAACTCGCTCACTCGCCATAAAATTAAATCTGCGGTGCAGCGCTGAGAGGAAATCTTCACCAACAGCTTGGAAATGAAAATCGTTAAAGCACTAGGAGTTTTGGTGATTATTACCAGTTTTTGTTCGCCAGCCATATGCTTGAAACCGCTTGGAGAAATCGAAATCTCTCCCTCAGGTACACCACTCCAGCTTTTCTGCATTTCTATCTATCGTTTTGATGAACAACAATGTGCATTTCTGCCATATATATATAGTAAAAGTTGATAATGTTAAAAAACTTGTGCACAGATCATATACAAGGAAGCACGAAAAGCGAGACGGTTGTGGAGCGCCGTTCCAGCAACTACAGCAGAACCGAGATAGCTGATCGGAAAAAATTCGCACACGCAAGCGGCGGACGGGGCGGCGGCGGACACCCAGCGGTTGTTTCAGGTAGTGACGCTCATGGCGATGGATCTCACCCTAAGGGAGCCGCTGGTTTTATACCGCTGTACGCAGCTGGTGTTGCCGGAGCAACTAACCGCCACAACAACCACGGAAAGCACAACGGCGGCGCTCGCGGTTACAGCAGCGCCGGACTAACAATTCTCGTCCTAATTGCATCGGTATGCCTTCTGCTCCGAAACTGATCTTTCATATGAAGCTTCAAATAATCGAATTTCATTGTGCATAGTTGAATATATATGTTTGTTCATCATACTTTTACACATAAGAAATGAAAAACATGAAATCATAGTTCGAATTTCAAGAGGTATGATCAGATGAAAACGACATTTAGAACTGCGGAAGTAGCTCTAGTTTCCGAGATTGAAAGAATTTGCACCGACCTTTACCGCTAGATTCAATATCTTCACTTTTTCTCTTAGCTGGAGTGATGCTGTACCTAGTTAGCTTCATTTGCCGCTTGCCGTTGCTTCCATTACCATCCTCATCCGCAGCAGCATCCGATTCCCTATATTGCAGAATACATTAAACTCAGGCAGATAAAATGCATCAGATTTTCTCTAAGAACATAAAACTAACCATAAAACCTCGACGAAATCTTTAAAATAAGCCGAGCAAGTTCCCCAACTGAAGCGCACCAACGTAGGGAATCCAAACACCGAATGCTTATGATTACTAAGCCAAGCCTTCGTCTGTGGATCTGTCGAACGAATAACATACAATTTTCTCAACTAAATACACAAATCGTCGATAAGATTGTAGAGTAGAAAAAGGGAAGCATACCTCCAGGGTATCCCGACCCAAAATTCCTTTGTAGATTCTCTGCTGTTTCATCCAGCATCCAATCGCGCAGAGCTCTATCTCTCGTCACCTGACGAGCATGATAACCTCTGTGATAACTCATCTAAGTGCAGAACGGATTTATTTGAATGAAGAACCGATTCTTTTGGAAACCATAAATAAGAAGGATCAGATACCTTTGCAACAATACTAGCACCACTAACAACAGGATAGAGACTGTCGGCTTTTTTCGCCACGACGAATTTGATGCTCGGAAATCTCTCCGAAAGCTTCACTCTATACTTTTCAGTATCCCCAACAGTATCCAAATAAACCTGGATCGACAACAAACTTTTTACAACAACGTAGCACACAAATCGAAGAATCGATATATAAAATTTCTATTCAAAACTTAACATCCAAAAAGTTCATCGAAACTGCAAGTAGAATAGAAGAGGAATTTAATTACCTCAGTAAGAAGAACACCGCTGCTCAACACTCTGTCGATAAGTCCCATGGCTGAAGCGTGTGATATTTCATTCAAATTGATTTTACTTCTGCAGAAAAAACAAAGAATCAAAGCAGTGTCTGTCAGGATAGCTTCATCTTCTTCTTCTTCTTCTCTGTTAGGATTGATTCGATTGATTGGGAGAGGTAATCGGTTAGTAAATACTGCTACTTACTTCTTCAACATCTTATCGGAAAGTTCTCGAGGATCGATGACGTCGACGGACCATCCGATGGAGTCGTTGGCCTTGAGATTTTCGAAGAGCTCCTCTCTCTTCTCCTCTTTCAGCGTCTTCGAATCTGCGAAGCTGAGAGTGGAGAGCGTTTGGTTATAAGATTGAGCGCAGTACAAGCATCCATAGACCATGGGGCCTAAGACGGGGCCGCGGCCGGCTTCGTCGATTCCCATTATGCAGGGCTCCGACGCCCATTCCGGCGCCGCCTTCTCATTCTCCGATCCCATCCCCCAAATCCCTCCCGCCACAATTTGGGGCTTTTTCTTACGAGGCACCGGTTTGTAAACCATTTTAACTTCACTATGGATGTCAACGGGCCGGTTCGGGACCGGTTTTACAGGGAGACCGCCCTGCTATAAAATATTATGGCCCCAAACCCGTTCCGCTTCAACTTGCCCCCAATCTTTCCGGAGCCAACATGAGAAACTATTCTTTTCTTTTTTAAAAAAGAATAAAATAAAAAATTTTAAAAATAATTTAATGATAAAGAACAATCATTGACGATAGTCAGTCAACATCAGTCCTGATTATAAAGAGAATTGTAAGAAAAACAATTAAGAAGATAAATTTGATTTAAACTTAAAGTTTTATTTTATATTTGATTTTTTAAAATAAATAAATGTTGGGGTGCAAACCCAACTCTCAAGTAAACTTCACTGCTGACGCCTTTGGAGAATATCCAAAAACAAATCCGTGCGGGCTCAGTCCAAAGCGGACAATATCATACTAGTGTTGAGTTGACCCAGTCCCAACAGTGGTATCAGAGCCCGGTTAGATGGTGAAGTGGACTGTGTGGCATTGGGCATTGGTTGTGGTCCCTCGTGACCTGCGGATATGCTTGTGTCGAAAGTCTCCTGGCGGTGTTAGGTCGGTCCCGATTGAGGTGGTCAGGCAGGGGTCCCTTTGTAATAGGCGGCATAAGGTGGGCATGGAAGGTCCAATGGTTGGTCCTTGGTTTGAGGGGAGGATTGTTGACTTGCAAACACAAGTCCCAAGTGAACTCCACTAGTTTGAGGCCTTTTGGAGGATATCCAAAAACAAATCCTCGCGGCTTCAGCCCAAAGCGGACAATATCATAAGTTGACCCAGTCTCAACAATAAATAATATAATTTATATTATATAAAAATATAAATAAATTATAATAATTATTAAAATATCTGAGTTCGGGTTCGGGTCCGAGGTGGGGTGGATTTATAGTAAAACCCGTAACATGCTCTGAATCCGGTTGGATCTAAAACTTAAAATCCACAGCTCGCCCCGAACCAAAATTTTTAGACTCGAACTCGCCTCGTTAAGACCGGGTCTGGGGCGAATCCGGGGCTAACCTGCCCCATTTGACATCCGGAAACTTCACTTGCCTAGTTGGTTCGAACCGACAGTTCTGATCGAAACCAAACCGGTTTTCTATACGGTTCGATTTCGATTCCTTCAAGTCGTGAACCCGTAAATTTTTCGGTGACCGGCTTGTTAATTTTATTTTTTTGAAAATATATACTCCATAAATCTTATGGAATACCTTTCTTGATCGGAAAAAAAATAAAAGAAAAAAAAAAGCAACAAGAAGAGAAGAAAGTACATGGAGAAATTGGTGGCCGGGCGTATGTGGAATTATTAAATCAAATATTTTAATAATTTCTCTATGCCAACGTCATTGTTTTAATAATAGTAAATTATAATATTATTTTTTATATAATTGATTATATTAATAATTTTAAATAAATTTAATATATATAATTTGAAAAATAGAATATTATTTAAATATTATAAAATTATATTATAATTAAAAAAATATATGCAATATAAATATATTTTGTAAAAAATAATATATTCTAAATAAATAAAAAATATGTTTATTTATTTATAATTATCATAAATTAATTTTATAAAATATGTTGAACTTTAAATATAGATAAAAATATTTGTTTCTACGAAGATAAGACAGAAATAAAAAAATTTTAAGTGGTCATATAACACAGACAACAGTTGATTTTAACACATGACATACTTGTATAGAAATGTGCACATACCTTTATTATACATAGTATATGTCGTGTGTAATACTAATTTGTGTTGTTTGCATATATAACGTGCTTAAATCAACACAGTAACAATCCCCTAAAAAAAAATACACAATCCATATTAAATTTTAAAAAGAAAATAGAAGAAAAGTATACCTATTGATATTGATGAGAAAAAAAAAATACTATTAATAGTCATGTCATAGCTTTTATCTTGTTATTGACTTGTAATTAAAAAAATCAAAATTAAAATCAAAATCAAACTATATATAAAATATAAAATATAAAATATGATAATTAAACCAAACAAAAATATTAAATAAGCGAATTAAATGGACAAATTTATATGTTCATTGATAGAGGCGGTAAGAATCCGCTAGTTTAAAAAAAAAAATCTAATTACAAAAGTAAGAATCAATAAAATAAAAAAAAATGAATTTTTTTTTTAATTCCAAACAAACACCGACTTGCCTCAAGATGCAATAAATGACAAATTTTGGTGAATATTTAAAATTAATTTTTTTTATCTTTTTATATATAAAATTTTACAATTAATTTTTTTTATTCAAAAAATTCTTAAAATTATGAGAATGCATTAATATGTCTTGTCAAATAAATATATATATATGTCATATATGATATTACATGAAAAATTCGATATCAAATTATTAAAATTAACAATATCAAATTAATTACATCATTATTTTCAAAATATTCAAATAGATACGCATCTATTTACTATATATATATATATATATATATATCTCAATAAATAGATTTATTCATCCATAATTTTATTATTTTTATTTTAATAAATACTTATTAATTTTTTTATTACATATCCACTATTTTTTTATTAATTCTTTAATAAATTTTATAGAATATATTCACTATACTTTTTATATATCCTACTTTAACAATATCATTATTTGAATATTTCTACATCTTTGTGACCAATTAAACTTATATAATAATTTTACTAAAACGAGGTAGTATTTTACATATACAATGGATAATATGTAAAAATGTATGAACTAAAATGGAATAATTTAATTTTGTATGGAATTCAATAGTATTTTATTTAGAGATGGAAAATGTAGCGGGTTTGGGTCTAAAAAATATGCTTCGGAGCGTATTATGGATTTTAAGTTTTAAACTCGATCGGGTTCATATCGATTTGATGTAAAAAGTAAAAGTACACTTCAAAAAACTGAGAATTACTCATGAAATTTTTCCATCGCAAATCGTGATTTTTCCGTGAGTAAATTGATTTGCAATGGAATTACTCACGGACAAATATTTTGTCTATATATGTGTCGTCGCTAAAATCACACGATGAAAAGTTCGTGAGTAATTTTGCGGCGAAACTACTAACGAACACGTATTTCGTCCATAAAAATGTCGTTGCTAAAACTGCACACAAAAATTCCGTGAGTAATTTTGCGACAAACTACTCACAAAATTTTCCGTGAATAAATCCATCGCAAAACTCTTGTTTGCGATGAAAATATTTCCATGAGTAATTTGTCTCAAACATTACTCATGGATTTTTTTCGTCGCAAAAGGTCTACTTTGATTTTTTGACATTCCTATTTGCAACAAAATAAATTTCGCTGAGTAATTTTTCTCCAACCCCAAAAACTTTATATTTCAATTTATCTATTCCTGTCTCAAGCAATAATATCTAAAAAAAAAAAAAGGGTTAACTTATAAAATAAATCTCACCAAACAAAACTAATCTAATAAGCAAAATATAATCAAATCACACTATATATTTATAAAATAATTTCCTAGTCGATATTACAAAATTCAATAAATATGGAATGGTACGATCCAACAATTTACAATTGTAGATTGCTCCGAAGATTTCAAACGGTAGATATATAAGCATTGTATCGGTGTTCGTTTGTGTAAGAAAAGCTTACTTGTGATCAAGATGAGCTGTAATATCGTCGCCTCCATGGAAGGCTGCTTGGGAAATCTCGAATGCGACTTTGATGACTTGTTTCCATGTCCCTCCCTCCAATGTCTACTTTCACCTTTGGATCTTTCGGTTCTTCCATTGGCAAAGAATATCCGGCCCGGAGGTGGCCAACTCAAGTCGTACGCAGCTTTTTAGAGATCGACAAAATAAATAATCAAGTGCGGGACAATTTAAATAGCTTACTAGAAGCTCTTACATTTCAATTTTTTAGAACTAGTTATACATGTAACTAGAGATAATCCACCATTAATGAATGATAAGTTTTGAAATTCTATGCATTACCATAGAGAGGTCTTGAACAAGTTCAAAGTATTACCTTACTTTGGGTTTGTTCACCTTTTTTTTTTTTTTTTTTTTTTGGCACAATTCCTATAAATATTATAAAAAAAAAATATAATATATCCCCTATTAATACAATAAATAATACTCTATCTGTCCTACATAATTTGTCTATATTTTCTATTTTCGTCAATCCCACATAATTTGTCATTTCTTTTTTTAGAAAATTGATTATACACTTTAATCACATTTTAAAATTTTAAATTTAAATTTTTTAATCTTAATTAAATGATTTAGTTATCTTAATCTTAATCTATAATTATTTTTACTATAATATTAAACGATTTAGTTATCTTAATTTTTAATGATACATTTCTTAATTACTTACTATTTATATTTTACATAAATTTCCATATCTAGGATGGAGGGTGTATATTTTTTGATTCAATAAAAAAGTCGATAATTCAACAAAAATATTATTTTTTTATATTGTCAACACGATTCTTCGTATATAGTATTGAAAATAGCTTACTCCAAAATCACTAAGGTTGTGTTCTTTTGTGGGTATTACCATATGTATTTACTATACCTATTCTTTTTTCCCTCAAAAAATATCAAATCTAACAATTACTTTTTTTTTTTATATTATATTACAAATTTATTTTACATTCAAAACATCACATCAACCTCTATTTATATCACATCAAACAACTATTCAAATTCAACTTTTTACTATTCAGAAATCCAAACCCACAAACAAACACACCCTAAGTGAACAAACCCCTTTATTACATACATACCAAGAAATACTTTCTTCCATTCAATCGAGCTGGGGTTAAAAAACAAACTTGCCTTAGGATCGAACAGTCTGATTGAGCTTTTATTCATAATGCATTCAATAACTCCAATACACATTTGTATATATATATATATATATATATTTCATTCAAAACACCATATTCAACAATTAACAGTCAAAATATATAAATTAAAAACCAAGAATTGCAGAATTTGTAAGTATTATGGACGACATTATATATATATATTTTTTAATGACCTGGAAAACTGCAGTCGCTAGGTCGACGACATTATATCTTCATTTATATGTACGTATTGGAGTAATTGATTATAATCATCCCCTTATTTAATTCCACTTTCATTTTCAGTAAATTATTTGTTAACATTACTACAAAACAACACCTCAATCGAAAAGAACATCATACAAAGACAATTGTTACTACCTAGCGAGAAAATTTATCAATTTAACTCAGAAATTAAATAAAAAAAAAAGAAAGAAAGAAAACAAAAAAAAAAAAAAAAAGAAAACAAAAGCTAGCTATATATATATATTCTAAGTAGTGAAAAAGAGATTATCTAAGTATCCCATCAAAGGACGTTCGTAAAACACACCATCCGGCTTTGAAATCACTCTACTCTTTCTTTCGATCAAATTATAGATTACGAAACATGAGTTATCATCCCTATGAATAGTGAATATAAGCTCTCTATCATTGTAGTCGATCAAGTACATCCGGAAAGAGATCTGATACAAATCCACTATCCTCGGATCCGACATGCTACACCCCATCCATAACTCCGTCCCCAGAATCGGCAAATCATCAAACTCCATCCATTCGCCACCGGTCCTCTTCCACACAATGCGGCACTTGTCGCGGTAAATGTCACCAACGAGAATGCAAAACTGGGTGTACGAAATATCAACATAACAATATGAGGTTTGGGTTCTCGATCCTCGCTCTGTATTGTAAAAAAATTTATAGAACTTGTCGTTCATTACGTTGAAGAAGAACATTTCGATATTGTAACTATTGTTTCCTCTACCCAGTATGGTATAGTACAAATTGATCATGCGGCCATTGAAGGGGAAGTTTTTTATGTCATCTTCAAATGTTGTTCCCATACTTTTCAACTCGTTCCAATGCCCGTTTCTGTTGTTAAACACGGTGTATCGATCGTGAAACGTATCAGCGGCAACTATTTTGTAATCCTTCGTTAATGGATCGAATCCGATGCCGCATAGGCCGATAGCTCGATCCGGAAAAGGAAACCCCAAATCTGTATAAGTTCTGGTAGATAGATTCCAGATGACGATTCCGCTTCTGGTGACAGATGAATAAATTATTTGATTAACATTTTATTTGATTAATTTATTTTGATCGGAAATAAATAAATAAATAAATAAAATAATTTGTTGCAAAATGCAATGAAGTGGACACTTTTCTTTTCTCTTTTTGGAAAATACAAAATAATCTAAAAAATATAATATATATATATAATATATATTATATTTTCCTCTTTAGCTTAAGATACTGAAAATTTTTTCTTTAAAAATTTTTTAGAAAATTTCTCCCGTTTCGTTGATAATTTTCGTTGTTCTATTCTGGGAAGCCATATCGGTAGAGGGTTGAATTCGTTTTAAGGAAATCGCATGCTACGTAGACGCTCGACTTTAATTTTGCATCTATTTGATTTTGTGTTTTCGGATTTAGTTATATCTCAGATTTTGAAAAAACAATTTTCTAACAAAAATACCTCGATTGTACGAGCATTAGGCCATCGCAGCAACATCGCTCATCCGGGAGAATGCAGTATTCCGATTTGAGGCCGAGCAATGGCTTCAATTCATTGTTTTCCATTAATCTAGAGACGTTGTATGCTCTTTGATCAAGGGACTCGAAAAGAAACATGTTTCGATAGGACAACAACGACGATAGATTATTCTTCGATTCATGGAGATGTGCGAGGGCAAAGTCGCGACTGCAAATGGTATCGTTCCATGTCTTAGAGACGGATTTGAATCGGAGTAGAGATTTGACAGGAAGTCGCATGAGAATGAGCTGTAGAAGATCAGCCTCTGCCATCTTCTATTCAATGAAATTAAACAAATCCAATGAATATATATATATATATATGTATATATTTATATTAGTTCGATTCAAACACAATTTTCTCGGTAAGTTTGTTTATGATAGAAACAGATATTAGTAACAAACTACCGATGTTAATTAGGACCATATATTTTATATATTTTTTCTATTTTTATAGCTAGTGAGTAGTGAGAGTAGCCACGGTTTTACTTATATTTTTTTTCAATATTTTATTAAATATTATAATTGCCCTATTGTATTTCATGAAATTATTAGTGTTAGGACCATTGAATTTAATCATAGTAGCTCGTATACATGATTTATTTTTATATTAAATTATATACAGATTTAATATTTTTTATAAATAATATTTATAGGTTTATATTACTCGAATCCATCAGTTTAAAAAATACAATACACAATAAAAATAAAAATAATTTGTAAAAAAAAAAAAGAATAACATAATAAATAATTAATAAAATAATACAAAATAAGTGAAACTATTTCAATAAAAATAAATTTTTTACGATAAAAATTTATAATAATTTTTTTTATGAATTTCCTAAATATTCTTTTAAATTAAAAGACTTAAAATTCTGACATAAAAATATATTAAAATATTATATTCAAAACAACATCAATTTAAAATAAATAAATAAAACATATACAATATACAATAAGAATGAAATGATTTATTACTAAATAAAACAATAAATAATTAAAAAAATCTATACACAATAAAAATAATATACTAAAATAAAAATAAAGTTTGTATATATATATATATATATTAAAATTCAGGTAATGCAGCAAAATGAATCCCTTTTGTTTGCAAAATTTGTTAAAAAACTCATTGGTCCTAAAATTTTGTTTTACGTACTTGTGGTTCAGATAATTACGGCAAAATATATCCTTTTGTTAGTACTTAATGAAGATTGTAGCGGATACACGCTTAAAATGAGAGTATTATTACAAAATCATAGATGATATGAGAGGACATTCTTCTTCAAAGCAGGTATAGAAATACTTGGATCGTTCACCATGTCCTCTCCCGTTATCTACGAAATTGTAATGATACTTGCAATTTAAGCATGTCTATTACAATATTTGTTAACTATTAACGGATGATGTGTTCTTTGCAATATTACCTGAACTACAAATAGTAAAACAAAATGTTAAGACCATAAGATTTTTTGACCGAATTTTGCAAATCACAAGTAATATTTTGCTATTTTGTTTAAAATTTATTATAATTAAGTTTCTAAATATTCTTTCAAATTAAAATATTTAAAATTTATACATAACGTATAAAATTAAATAAAAAATAGAATATAATACTAAAAAAATAAATCAATTAGAAAAAATACATAAGAATTGATTAGTAAAAAATAAAATAATACAATATATAAATAAAAATATATACATACACAATAAAAATAAAAATACTAAAATAAAATTTAAATTTTTTATATATTAAAACTTACTATGATTTTATGTATGAATTTCTCAAATTTTGGCAAAGACTTCAAATTTAAACATATTCTACAAAGTTGAAAAAAAATACTCACTCTGGTCACAAAAAATATGTTTATTTTCTTTATAAATTACATAGAAAATGAACGAGCAGAGGGGTATTAGAATATAGTACTAAAAACCAAATCAATTTTAAAAAATACATAATAATGAAATTACTAAAATAAAAATATAAATTTTATATGAATTCAAATAAAAATACTCAAAATTTGGACATAATTTACAAAATTGAAAAACAAATTAGAATATACTAACTCCGTCTCAAACACGCGTGCAATATTTTCTTTTTTTTTATGTCTCAAACATCCCGCAACATTTTCAAAATAAGAAATAATTAATGATACTTAATTTATACTCACACTTTATTCAATCACATCACCCAAATAAAAAATAAATAAATATTTTTTTATTCATCACATCACCTCATTTCTAAATTATCCTACTTAATATTACCCATCTAAAATCACGTGCCAAAGTCAAATGTTTTATCTTGTTTGGGACGGAGAAAGTAATATTTTAAACAAAATCAAATAGAAAAACACATTTACAATAAGAATTTTTTTTTTTAAAAAAAACTAATTAGTAAATATAAAAAGAATACAATAGACAATTTTTTTTTTAAAAAAAAAACATACAATAATAATAAAAATAATAAAATACAAACAATATTTTATACTATTTATGTCTTTTAACTAAGTATTTATTTTCTTTTTTGTCGAACTTGGAATATTAATATTATATTTATATCTAGTACAATTTTTTTTTTAAAAAAAAAATTCTATTAGTGTTGTATAATACAAATCCAATGATATTTGTATAAAATATTATTTAAATATAATGATATTTTTTATGTTAAATACAATGACACACAAAACAAACAGATACTTTGTTAAACGAATGATGAATTATATTAAAATGTAAACATATCATTACACATACAATTAATTTATATATAAAATACAAGAATAGAGATATCAAAACTATTTCACATTTTTACTAATTAATAAAATATTATTATTTATTAATACTACCTCCATCATCAATACTTATGTCCATTTGACCGAACAAATATTTTAAGAAAAGTAAATAAAAATAGAAAATTTATAATTTTATAATTTTAAAAAAAATGTATTTTTTATTAAAAAAATGAGAATATTTTATATATATATAACAACAAAAAAGCATAAATTTGGATACAAAAACAAAACATAAATATATCAATGCATCTTTGATTCAGATGAAGATAGTATTATTTTTTTTAAAAAAATAAAAAATAGTCTGATTTTTAGTACCGCTCTAACCTTTTTTTTTTATGTTAGGATTTTAAATGCACTATGTTTGAAAATTATTTCGTAAGTAAAAAAAATTTATGCTAAAATTGTTTCAATCATAATTTCTCTGAGTTAGTAGACTTAATTTTACTAAAGACGACTAAAATTTATGCATTATTTATGCATTTCATTATATCTAATACATTGATTTATCTTCTTCAATGGCGTATTGATGATGATGATGATTATTATTATTATTATTATTATTATTATTATGTTATTGTTGTTGCAGTATCTTTTGGAAACGAACGTTTACTCGAGAGAGCACGAGCAACTAAAGGAGCTGAGGCTAGCCACAATCGACAAATACGATTTTTGGCATGCATTTGAATTAATCATATGCATCTGATTTGATCTATAGATCTATCATGATTTGAATCATAAATAATTCGATCTGAATTGGTGTTTTGATTTGATTTGGATTGGATGATGTTAATTGTGAAGTAGTATGATGAATGTGCCGATAGGCGATAGGCGAGAGTCATTTTTAATCACAATGCTGCTCAAAATTATAAACGCGAAGAAGACACTAGAGGTCACACTCTTCACCTGCTGCTCTCTTCTCCTGCTGCTGCTCTCTTCTCGCCTTACATGATGAAGCCTTCAACACCAGCCTGCCTTTCGTCTAGAAAGCCGCCATGGTGGTCAAAATCCAATTCATCCAGTTATATATCCGATTTTAGAAACCGGACCCTTCCATCCTAACATTATTTAGATGAAAATAATAGTTAGGTTAGATGTGTGTTTAAAGCACAATATAAATAAAATAAAATTAAATTAAATTAAATTAAACTTTTTTCACTTACACTCGTTCCATAAGCAAAGCCTTCACCAGCCAAAGGATGAAAACATGCTGCAGCTGCCACTTCTTGTTCGCTGTAAATAGACTTAATTCGTTGCAGATTACGAACACTGTACACCTGAGAGACCATACAATGAAAGGAAATGAACATTGTTAATACACACAAAAATACATTAGTGCTCAGTATAATTTGGTAATTCTTAATATCAAAGACCAACTATATGAAAAAGATGGTGATTATGTTTAATAAAAATTTATTCATGATGCAGTAGAATATTTTATCAAAATACATGAGATACAAGCATACAAGATTATGTATATATCCTAAAATCCATTAAGTCAGTAGATCTTAAAAATGAAATTCAATCATTTTAGCTTTCTCACACTACACACAAAAAATAAATAAATAAATGACATAATGAATTAGAGTTATCAAAATATACTAATTTTAGTAAATCATAAGTGAAAATGTCTCACTAAAATACGCACAACAAAATATGTGATTTTACACATAACCCTCACCTCTAAAATTCTATACTCCGGTGCTTCCCCAATCTCAGTGGTTTTAGAAAGCAATTTGTTGGACTGTCCATAAGCTACCAATAGATGTTCTGAGGTAGGCGAGAACTAGAGCGTTGCCAAATGAAAATAAACAAAATATATATAATGATAAGTATTACAACATTCGAACAAATGTATTAGAAACATTAAAACGTCATAATTATCCTGTATTCTTGCATATTTATTTATTACAATAGACCTATAACCAAGCTAATTGGGAACATTTGAAAAATACATATACTAATAAACAATGTCATTTATTTCCAAAATTAGTTACATTTCCATTGTGAATACCTTTATAACTTTCCAAAGTATAGATACAACCAAACACCAACCTAAAATTTGGCATTTACAATTGATTATAAAGTAATGATCATACATTCAATTGTTAATACTATCAAACACCTCAGAAATGATCATAAGTAAAAAAACCAAATCAGATAACACAACTAACCTGTATTGCAGTCACGTATGCAGGTGCGTAGATTAGACAAGATCGTAAAGAAAAACCAAATCTATATATTAAAAAAAAAGTATCAGTTTTAAGAAAAGATAATAAATTTGGATAAACTTGTAGCATGCAAAAAAAATGAGACTCACATAGGCCCAGGCTCCATAAGAGAATATATCCTTAATTCAAACAAAACCCGACGAGGACCACGACGAGGAGGATCCTCTATTGGCTTAAGACATGCTACACAAACGGCTAAAAATCTTCCGCATGGAGAAATATGAGCACCCATTTCCCTAGCAAAATAATGTCATATGTAAGCGTTTGAAGCCATCCGATTATGAGAAAGAAAAGGAAAATTATTTTAAAATAAAATAAAATAAAATATGGTGATTAATTATGTACAATGAAATTTTATATTGGAAAGTAAAAGCAATTCACATTGGGAATCATCTTAATATCCATAAATGAAACCAATTACATTCCCAAAAGCAAATAACTTTACATACCTACAAAGAATAACCTGTTGAATTGTTAAGCGGCACCTCCGTTCCGTAAGAGCTGTATATGGATTTCTTATGTCATACTCCCATATTCTAAGGTTTGTTGTGTAATGTTGAACCTGTAGAAAAGCAGCTCCCGTAGACACAGAGAGGTTATGCTCATCTCTAGGTACAGTTGCAAGGTCCATAGCCAAAATATCAAATTCACTGGCCTAAAAGGCAATCACAATAAAAATAATATATTAAGATAATGTAAAAAAATAAAATAAAAATAAACAGTGCCAAAAATAGAACCTCAGCAGTCATAAGATATGCAGCAGTGGGATGAAAATATACTGCTCTGATCGAACTTCTTATTGTTAGGATAGGTTCAAGTACAACAAGATCTACCGGTCCTTCTCCCTCTCCTGCTCTATATGGCCATATGAAAAGCTGTGGCATACAAAAGGGTAACTCATAGAAGCTATCATAACATCAATCAAACAAAGTCAATACTGTTTGTTTTTCTCTAAAATGCTAACCTTATTCTCACTGGCTACTGCCAAGATTTCCTCAGTATTGAAAGCGACTGATAACACTTCAGTCCCTGCAAATTGGCAAAATAAATAAATGAAAATGCCTTAACAAAGTGTTTTTTTTTTTAAATAATAATAAATAAATAAAGTATTGATCAATATAAAATTTGAGATTACTAAAGTGATATATCCTGATAACAGCGAAATGATTTGCATTCCACACTTTTACGCCATTCCTTCTAATTCCACTTGTAAACACATTAGATTCAATTGGATGGAATTTAACCTACAAAAAGGCCGAATGCAAGCATGAACTTAAATTCTGTAAGGTTCTAAGCACACAAAGAAACTATTACTTAGCAAAACAATTACATGTTCAAGAACCTATAACCAAGCTATCGTGACACATTGTCCCAATAATTATATTAACAGTTGGACCTTGGGTGCATGCTAAAAGATCATATAGCTTATGACAATGGGATGAACATATAGACAACTTACCGCCCAAGTTGTGACATTTTCCCCAACCGGTTGCAATAGGTATCTTCCAGTTTGCCAAGTAATTATCTTCACTAAATTGCCACTGTAAACATTAAAGCACAGTAGATTTTTACAAAGCAAGTAATAATTTTGGAAAGACTATGTTGAATTATACATTCATAGAGAGAAAATGAACTAACTGATTGAATGCAAGCATATTTCCAGCTTGATTGAAGGCTAATGCACTTATTGGGAAGGGTTCAGGTTGTACCCTCAGAGGAGGGTAGTACTGGCTAAACAAATGTTCTAATGACCTTGCTTCTACCCTGTAATTTATATAGACTTACGATGACAAATATAATTTACAAACCGTTAACAATTAATAAACAAGTTGCATGTATATATATACCATGAGTGGAACTTTCGTTTTGTTCTTTGTCCGTTGGGGGATATCTCCCTTCCGCGTAACAAATTAACAATATTTCTGCAACAAATAGAGAATATGATGAATATTTAAACGACAGAATGTATATATATATATATATATACATACCGCTACTCTATTAAAACACCAAACAAACACCAAACAGCCTTACTGCTACTCTAAAACACCAAACAAAGACCAAACAGTTTAAACACCAAACAAACACAAAACAACCATACTACTACTATATTTAAACACCAAACAAAGACCAAACAGTTTAAACACCAAACAAACACCTAACAGTTTAAACACCATACAAACACAAAACAGCCATACTACTACTATATTTAAACACCAAACAAAGACCAAACAGTTTAAACACCGAACAAACACCAAACAGTTTAAACACCGAACAAACACAAAACAGCCATACTACTACTATATTTAAACACCAAACAAAGACCAGACAGTTTAAACACCAAACAGCCATACTACTATATTTAAACACCAAACAAAAACCAAACAGCCATACTGCTACTCAACAATGCTGTTTTCTCGCAAGCACAAGCTTTGGTGCAGAACATTGCGCTGGATAAAAATATCAGTAAAAAAACAAAACAAAATAACTTACGCCATCAGGGAGAGGTAGAGGGAGACGGAGAGGGAGAGGGAAAGGGAAGAAAACAGAATGAGAGAGCCGGTGCCAAGTTCACAGCAGATGCTGTACAGGACGTAGTACGGCAACTCGGCCGAATAGGAACGGGACGGCCCGGAACGGCCGAATCCAAACCGAACCGGAACTGTCCAATTTCACCTTATGGGGAAAAAAAAAAAAAAGGAAGCCTGACGCGAGGGTTCTGTACATAATATTTCTATAGATTTTTTTTGTTTTTTTTTTAAAAATACTTTTATTTACGGGGTCCAAATATTTTAAATAAAAAAAATAAATTATGTTCATTTATTCATATAATTTTTTTTATACTGAAAAATTCTAAATTTATGTACACCAATATTATATTTTAAATATTATTCATTTATAATACTTAGTTTTTAAAAATATTATATTAAAAAATATATTTATTTATAACATATTCACATTAAATATTTAATTATTTATATTTTCCATAAAGTTCATTTTAAATGTCATATACTCCCCCTTCCGTCAACAAACTAATGTCCTACTTTCATATTTGGGACGTCAAACAACTATTTCCTTTTTTTTAAACATAAATTTTACATTTTTATCGTTCATTCATTTATTACTTTTAATCTCTACCGTAAGGTCAAAGTTGTCCATTTATAACAAAAAGAACAATCACCTAAAAAACTGTATAAATATTCTTCAGGACAAAATGGAAGGAGGAAGTATTTCTTAAGCTAGACATTGTTCAGGTATGATATGTGTATATATAATTATACACACACTAAAATCAAGAAATGAGAAAGTTAAATTGTTTGATACTATTCTTTTAAGTCGATTCTAATTTAAAAAATTCTTAAGCAACGCAAGGCATCATAAAAATAGTTAATGTGTGTATGTGTGCAGCACTAAAATCAAGAAGCCAGATAAATGATCGGCACCAATAAAATCAAGAGATGCTCACCTGTCCATCCCCAACCAAAGGTGAGTAGGGCAGGGCACCAGCATCTGATAACACAAAAATTTGAGGCAACAATGTAAATAAATACATTTGCAAATATCTTAAATGTGAGAGAAATTCTGAAAAGTGCATATGTAAAATAAATGAAGTTGAATCATAGATGCCTTGTATGCAACATACCTGTAACCACTGCACTGCACTGCACTATTGTCGATAGCCTTAACAACTTCCGGAACTGACCCTCTGAAGCCGCCATGTTTCCACGAGAAAGGCCCATGGCGTGATCCTTGTTGAAAAATGATTCAATACAGGATGAGGTGAAGTCAAGATACCATCATAATCCCGTCCTGTCCTGTCCTGTCCTACATTTGTCTGTAACTTTGGCAAACAAAAGGAAAAAGAAGCAAGATAGCAGCAGCTCTGCTGCTCGTGACATTAAATAAAGAAATACAAATAATTACCCGACAATGCTAATGTGTGTCAACCACCAGCAATCGTAATGCCTGGGTTGAGTGAAACCAAACAAGGGAATGCAGAAAGAGCTCCGGATGCTGAGCCTTCAGCTCGCTTAGACTTTTCATCAGACCCTCCACATGATCGTGAACCATGGGAGCGAGGACTCACTGCAAAAGAGATGATCTTCAACTTGTAAGTCAGTGTAACTTGGACAGGACATTCGGAAAATCGCCAAATCAGAGACCAATTACCTTGTTCATTCAACAACATGCTTTGCTTCTCAAAAGTATGCGTATCTATGCTTTAAAGGGTCCGTAAAAACCTTTCCAGAAGGAACACACGCATTCTTTCCACCCCCATGTATAAACTTCCCCACCAGCTAGCTACATTTAACCATGGTAACTCAAGTCAGTTGATAGATCAGAGATTCAAAATGCAAGAAGAACTATATATGTAGCTCATGTACACACGCAACGCAATGCTTCAGCTAGCTCTCAATACAAGTACTTCAGCTTCCCTCCACGAATGGGAGATAGGAGATATCCAAAACTACTACATTTGTTACCGACCGACATGGCCATCAACACTAATCGCCAATCATTTGAATCATTTTCAAATTGCTTAACCTGGAGGGTGGCCTACTTTGCTTTTAATTATAGAGTGAAGCAGAACATTGAAGCTAAAACCTAACATTAATTTATTGAATGGGGATATCTGAAGAGCTCCTGTTAGCCTTCACTATCATGGCATCTGCAGGAAGTGGAAAAGGCTCTGGCATTTCCTTAATAACATCAGCAAAAAAAAGGCCTTTTATTATAGCATAGCACATGAAATTGACAAAGATGTTGAAAAATAAGAAAATAGCAACTACTTTATTACCCCGTGTTTCCCACAAGTCACATAACTTTGGATCCCCATGTAATGAGCTTCCCAGAATCTGTCCACAACAATCTAGGAATTAATTAAGAGTCCTACTACAAGAAACACTTGCAATAAATAAGAGAATGAACTCAAAATTGAAAACTGCAATTAATTATCTATGCTTTCCATCATTAATGTGAGAGATTGTTGTTTCAAACCTTTAAAAAACAGAAAAAAGGGTCAGATCCATGTCTCTTGTCGTTCCAAATTCAAACTTAGTCAACCCACTTCTTCGAACATTCTCCAAATTCAACGAGAACCAATCTTTTTGGAATCAAAATTGAAAATTGAACTTAGATATATTCCAGAACCAACATCCCCCTAAATATAAACATAGAAATTTTTAGTCATCCTGACAGAAAGCCGTGAATCTAGGGCGGGGCGAACATTGCAGCTGAATTCAGCAAAGTGAAACAGCACAGCACCAGAGTAGGCATCTTGCAGAAATGCACAAACATACAGGTTTTTCAATCAATTTCACAGTTAAACGACTGGAAATGCTAAAAAGCAATTTGCTCGGAACCATTCACTAAATACAACAGCTGAAAATAGAAGGCCAGCCACTTCCATCGCTACCCAACAGACAGATAAATCAATCCATCAGTTGTCACTCGAATCCAATGCCGACTCTCCAACTACGCAATTCAGTCAAAGGGGAAACAAATTACCAGAAATTGCCATGGCGAAACCGCAGCCACCGCCGCAAACATCCTTCCAAGGATTTCCCCCGTTGGGTGGCCGCACCACCACCGGCGACAACGCCCCCGGAATATACCCCCACATGAACACCAATTTCTCCCCCATTTTCACACCTTCTTGACCTCCTTCCCCATCGACATTAATTCCTATTAATTTTTCGACAAAAAAGACACTTGTGTGACTTTGCTCTATAGATAGTTTCAACTTGTGTTATTGCGAAAAACAAAAACAAGAAAAGAACCACCCACAATGAATGGGTGGAGGGCATTTTGGACATTTCGCGTGGCGGATTTGTCGTTTTGTGAATTATGAAAACACTGCTGTCACGCGAGCACGAAATGGCCGCCAAAATGATTGGATCCTAGGTGGGTCACCCGACCCGGATTGAGGTGATGTTGAGGGTAGGGTTGTACCCGGAATGATTGAACCCGTTTCGTAACCACACGTAATTCAAGTGGTTTGCCGGGTACGGATCCGTATAACCACATACATAGAATTGTCGCCATTGTTTCTATTATTGTTAGGTTCATTTTGGTGCGACCTCAACAATAACAAGCCAGTTATAATAAAAATAATTTTGATATAATTTATCAAATTCTATCGTAATTTTATCTGTATATTAGTTAAACTTGAAAATAATGGACTATTGTTTGTTGAATTGAGCACATAGAGACAAAGTAATAAGGTTTTGTTATGCTAAAATTTGATTTAGTTTATTATTACTATACAATTACGCCGTGTTTTTAAATCTATAATTTCTTTTCTCACAAAAAGATTATATTTAGGCTATTATTTAAAAATAAATAAATAAATAAAACTACACTTAAAAAAAAAAAAAAATACACACAGTTGTGAATATAAGTAGATCAACTTGGACCTGCAAACCAGGTCTGACGGAAAAGTCACAGTAGGCCGAGGATTTGAACTCATGACCTGACGATCACAAGTTCAACTCCTACACCATTAGGTCATCTCTTACGGCACAACTTGAGCATCTTCTTTCAAAGAGTGGAGATGTGCATTTTTTTAGGTAGTAGGATGTTGCCTTTTGTCATTATTTTTTTTAGCTTGATATAATTTTAGGAGTTGTATCTATAATGATAAAAAGGGAATTTATATACATATAAAAAAAAATTGAAAAAAAAAAATTACACTTACAAATATTGCTAAAATACTTGAAACAAATGAAATATAATTATTTAGAGAACTCTTTTGTTATAGAGTTGATTAATGAGCAAACTAACAAACCGATTCGAACCGAAAAGTTTAGGGTTCTAGACTTTGAGAATAAGGCCATCAGCAAACTAACAGGGAAACCCCCACGTCGGATTAACAAAAAAAATTAAAAATCAATTATTTGCTTGCCAGTGCTATGCATCTGCAGCATTCCCTTGAAACCGGGATATTAGTGTATTTTTGCCGTGTGTTCCAATTAAAAATATCTTTTTAGTTAGTTTTTATATATTATATTTTTTATTATATATATATTTATTAATAATTTTTATATTTTTATATTTTATAAAATTTTATTTTTTACAAAATGATACCAATATTGATATATTTTTTTAAATAAAATTTTAATTAAATATAACCAATTAATAATAATACCAAAAGGTTGTACCATAAAATTGAATTTTCATATCACATTAATTTTTATTATATTAAATATGTTTTTTATATTAAATTTTATTAAATATAAATAATTATAATTAAATAATATTATTAATATTGATCACAATAATAAGAAAATAATAATAATAATAAATATTTATTATTATTTATAAATTAAATTATTAAATAAATAAATACTAATAAATATATATATTAGATAAAAATTATTATTATAAAAATAAATAATTTAATAATACGATGGAAAGAGAAATTAAAATTGGTATAAATGAGTTTCTTATATGAACGATATAAAATGAAATAAATTTCTTCTGACGACTGGCACATGATACGACGTGGAAGACAAGAGACATATGGAAGAAACCGTTTCATTTCATTGATGCGATGGCCTAATGAAATCGAAACCGATAGTCTCTTGTTAGTAGTGGTAGTATCATTGCAAAGGTAGCTAACCCTTCCTATTTATGGTTTCCAAAAAAATCAGTTCTAGATTCAGCCGGACAAATAAATCCCTTCTGCACATAGATGAGTTATCACAGAGATTTTCATCCTCGTCAGGTGACGAGAGAGAGAGCTCTGCGCGATTGGATGCTGGATGAAACAGCAGAAAACCTACATAGGAATTTTAGGTCGGGATACCCTGGAGGTATGCTTCTATTTTTCTACTCTACAATCTTATCGACGATTTGTGTATTTTGTTGAGAAAAAATGTATGTTATTCGTTCGACAGATCCACAAACGAAGGCTTGGCTTAGTAATCACAAGCATTCGGTGTTTGGATTCCCTAAGTTGGTGCGCTTCAGTTGGGGAACTTGCTCGGCTTATTCTAAAGATTTCGTCGAGGTTTTATGGTTAGTCTTATGTTCTTAGAGGAAATCTGATGCATTTTATCTGCCTGAGTTTAACGTATTCTGCGATATAGGGAATCGGGTGAGGATGGTAATGGAAGCAACGGCAAGCGGCAAATGAGCAAACAAGGTACAGCATCACTCCAGCTAAGGGAAAAAGTGAAGACATTGAATCTAGCGGTAAAGGTCGGTGCGAATTCTTTCAATCTCGGAAACTACAGCTACTTTCGCAGTTCTAAATGTTGTTTCATCTGATCATACCTCTTGAAATTCGAACTATGATTTCGTGTTTTTCATCTCTAATGTGTAAAACAATGATGATGTTATGTTTGAAATTTGACAGGATTGCAAGAACCGATTGTGAGGAACAACCTGCATTACACCTTATTTCCGACTCACTGACATTTCTGTAAGTTATTCATGTTTGTTTTGTATGACAAAATCCATTGAAGAAGGCTGCTTCCTATACAAATTTGGAGTTCATGATTCTATTGTTCGTTTTCTTCTATTTACGGAACATGCAACTTTTAAAATTATATCATGCGAATATTCCGGGCTACGAGTATATAGGATGGAAACCCGGGCTGGCAGAAGAATGAAGGGATTAACTTGGTTGTCCCTGTGCCTTGGTGTAACAATGCCACGTACTTGTTGTCCCGTGTATCAACATTCAATATGACTATTGTTAAAGACATGAGGATGCCTAAACAATACATGGCACTACTTGTTCGTTTCGTATGACAAAATCCTTTGAAAAAGGCTGCTGCCTATACAAATTTGGAGTTCCAAATTCGATTGGTTGTCGTCACATTTAAAATTACGTCATAAGAATATTCCGGGCTACGAGTATATAGGATGGAAACCCGGGCTGGCAGAAGAATGAAGGGATAACTTGTTATCCCTGTGCCTGGGTCTAACAACGCCACGTACTTGTTGTCCCGTGTATCAATAATTCAATATGACTAGAAGGAGTAAGGAAATAGGTGACCGTTCTTTTGAGAAAGAAGAATATTGCAGCATGATTAGTATATTGGTAACAAATTAGACAATGCTCTATCATCCAAACTACATTAGAATTCCTTTGTTTGTGTGGGTGTGTATTGAAGTCACCGTTCATGATTAACATCCTTTTCTGATAGTTGCTATCGACTGCTGGAACTGAATGTGACTTTTCAAAGTTTGTATTATGTGTTTCTCTAGTATTGAAGATATTTTATTTATCAGAGTACCCTGCAGTTTAATACATATTGTCCTTATCCTTTTGCTCAGCTCGTCAAACTTTGTAGGTGTTTATTAATATCCAAAGCTGTCAGTTCCTCTAAACAGTAGGTTGGATTGGATGTATCTCACGCCTTTCTTGACTTGGGATTCTTCACTGGAGAACTTGTTCTCACTTTGCTTTCTTCCTATCAACCATTTATGCGACGAGGTGTTTCTCTAATTGGTGTTCCTGTGCAGGCTCTTCACGTAGTTTTTCTTGGCAAGGCTGTTTTTTTAAGACATTCTGATGGTGTTATAAGTGGATGGAACCTGCTGTTTTTAAGATGAGATGACAATTTAAAGGGCACTGAGGTTTTTGTAGGTGGTGATTCTGTGCACTCCAGCTCTCTGTTTTTGCTTCAGATCATTTGCATGTTTAGGCTGTTTTTATTTTTTTATTTTTTTTTATTTTTTTTTATTTCTTTAACGGTGACATTAGTAGATGGAACTTCTATTTTAGCATATGATGGTCAGAGTTTTCTGGCGTGTGCAAGTGTGTTGATGTTTGGCGTCCTCAAGGTGGTAAGAGATGCTGTGTGATTACAAATTTGAACTGTGTTACTATAGGATGATATGTCCTGTTGATGTCTAGTAGAGTTTTCAAGGTGGTTAGGAGCTGGTTCGTGACTTGAAAAATTGCATGATGCTGTTCAAATGATTGGTGCATCTTATGTTATATTGGGTTAGGTTTGCTTGTAGTTGAAGTGTTATTTTTTTTTTTTTTCGTCCAGCTACTATTCAATATTGTTGGTCTTCATGTTCCTAGTTTATTAATGTTTATGTGTGAAGTAATAATCTGTCTATGGGATACATTTGTAACTTTTGTCTAGCAAATGCCTGGTCCTTTCTGGAATTGATTTATCATTCTTTTAGTTCATCAGTTGTATATTTTAATTATACTTCTGTAGCACTTGTTTGTGGGGTGGATAATGCTTAATAGTTTTGAAATCCTATGTCAAGACAACTATGTTTACATCTACCAGCTAGAGGGACATGTTGCCTTAGGTTATGTTTTGACTTTGCAAATGTGACTGATATTTTGGCCTTCTACTTTTACTAGGATGATGCACTAAACTGATGCAATCATTATTCTACACCTCATGAATCAAGCATGCTGTTGACTCTAAGTTGATTATTTCTGGCGTAGTGTTATATATATCAACAAATCGAGGATTTGACGGTGCATTTCATTGATTCAGATCTGAATTCCAAATGCAAAATTTCTTGAACTCTTTCTGAGAAAAGTGAATTTAGATGTTTTTGTTTGTAGACGAAAAAACATTAATGATTGTGAAAACAAGAGGCTTAGATATATTCTCCATTTGATTCTTTTTGTGTTTCTTTGTGAATAAATTATTAGAATGAGGATTGATTCATATGAATTGTTTTATGGATAGAGAATGAGGGAGTGAATGTAGAAATTTGTAGCAAACCCGCTTAAAATGGATTTTGGTTGCGATCGAAGTTCTTCATTCGGTCTTTGTTCTTGGTTAACATTGGACTTATGTGTATATGTATGACTCGTTGCTTGAAGAATCATTTATGTTTCTTGTGCTTTATTCATTCAATTTTTTGTAGTTCTTGCAATGGTCAGTGCCTTGTAAGAAAGGCTTCAAAGGTTTCAGATATTAGAGCTTTAGAAATACAATAAGCCTTGCTTTGGCCATTGATTTTGCTTACATTGGATCTATTTGTATCTGTATGATTTGTTGCTTGTAGAATCAGCTACGTTTCTTGTTGTTTAATCACCCATGCTTCTGCATATCTTGTGGTTGTTGTTGTCTTGTAAAAAGGAATTCAAAGGTTTATGCAACAAGGCCTTGATCTGTCCTTTGATTTTTCTTCCATTGGAATTATGTGTATATCTATGATTTGCTGCTTGAGGAAATCATGTTTTTGTTGTTCTTGTGATTCTCGTTGTCTTGTAAGAAAGACTTCGACGAGAATGCCTGCCCAAAAGCCCGACGAAAACAACGAATGAATGAGAAGTGCAATCTGAGTAAATGGAAGTCAGAAAAGGATGAGAACTGCAAAGGCAATGTGAAGCCATCTTCTCCTAGGCAGAAAGGCTTGTGGTGAAGATGAGACCAGCCACCAGTCCTGGGAGATGCTCGAAGCCGATTGAAGGCCGGCAGCCAATAGAACGGGTAATGTACATGTCCCTATGATCGGGTTCGGTTTCGACGGTTTGTTTTTCAAATATATAGAATAATATCTGCTAAATAAAATTAGGAAAAAAAAAAATATATCTATAAGATTTTATTTAATAGTATTAAATTTTGATTTTTAAATATAGTTTTTTGGTATTTTTAATTTTTAGGTAAATTGTTCTTTTAGTTTTTCCTTATCATTTTAGACTATGTCTGAAAATAGTCTCGTAAGTAAATTTTTTTTAGCTAGTCCTCCGGTGTCGGATTTGTCACGTTAGTCCGTCGTTCCTAATGTGGCGCTGACGTGTGTGTCGTCATCACGTAGATGCCACGTCGGAGGTTCATTTTAGCGGAAAAAAAATTTTATTTGTAAAACTCTTTCATTTCATATAGAGTTTATTTAAAAATGATAAAAATAAGTCATGCTGGGCTAAAAAATAGTTTACTACAATATTATGTAAAATAAAAAAAAAAATCCATAAGATATTATGTAAAATAGAAAAAATTCACTTGTCACTGACGTAGCATTTACATGGTGATGACACATCAATCATGTCAGCGCCACGTCAGCGCATCTACATGGTGATGACACATCAATCATGTCAGCGCCACGTCAGCACATCTACATGGTTGGTGATGACACATCAATCATGTCAGCGCCACATCAGCAACAGCCAGCTAATGTGACAAGTCTGGTACTAGAGGATCATTTTAGCGAAAAAATTTCTATTTACGAAACTATTTTTTCAAATAAGGTCCACAAATAATAAAAATGGTTAGATAGGGACTAAAAAAAGTTTATCTTTAATTTTCTTATTAAAATATTAAACTTAATTTTTTAATATATTATGATTAATGATATATATTTTTTTTAATTGAAATAAGTAGAAAGGTAATTTTATCTATAAAGCGTATATGAAAAAATTGTGTTTATGTTATAAATATATAAGGTGATATAATTATTTGAAATATAATTTTATATTTAAAGCATATATTATAATTATTACTTTACTTTATTATCGGCATTATATTAATTCAAGTCATTTCATTTTTATAATAAATTACTTTTAACTCATTACTTTTACTATTTTATAAATTCATAATTATTTATTCATTTCTATATATTTTTATTATGTAATAATATATAAATAATTTATTTATTTATATATATTTTTATTGTTTAAAAATATTTTTATATAATATTATATTTGAAATTTTGGAATTATCAAAATAAACTTGTTCGATCCATTGCCTGCAAAACTTTCATTTCCAACTGTTGGATTTAAGATCTGATTGAAAGGATTATTTTCACTAGTGATTTCGTTGAATTCAATATAAAAGGTAGAGAAATGCAAATAATTTTAAAATATAATAGATAGAGCATTAGAATTGGTTAATAAATTTTAAATATATATTATAGATAATTTAGGTTAAATTTATAATTTTAAATTTTAAAATTTCAAATTTTTTTGGATAGTATTTATTTATTTTTATTTTTTTAAGGTAACAGGTTTTTAAGAAATGTAATAAATATTGATAACTGTATTTTTTATTAAAAGTAATGCGTTTTGTTATACAGTAAAAAATGAAAAGACAAAAATAAGAAAGTGACGGTAGCACATGCTCTTAATAAAAATACTCTTTTATGTAAAAAGGTTTAGATAAAATTATATATAAATATAGGAATTTTTTTAGATAAATTTTATAAATTACAATCAAATAAATTATTCTATTTTTTACTATATAAAATATCATGACAAATTATTATTCAATTACTTTTTATATGGGATAGATGAGATGAGATGAAAAAAGATTAGATGAGATTGGATTGGATATTCAACGGCACTGACGTGCGGTAACAAAAATCGACGTGATAAATAATTCGGAAAAAACATGGTCGTGTTACAAATAAAATAAATTTTTTCTGATGTGACATTTATTAAATACAATATGATCTAATTTATAGAAGATAGTTGTTTCGTTAAAATGATAATGTTGTGTTTTATATCAATTTTTTAAATGTTATCCACATTAAAAAAATGTACTATGGTTTTTTTTTTTTTTTTTTAATAACGTGAAAACCGGCATCCGTTACCCTTCGGGTAAAAAAAAATCACACTAGGACAATTATATATTACAGACAAGGCATAGAGACATCGTAGTTTGAATTTATCAAGTCACGATCAACGAGTTCATTCTCAAACATCCTTTATGAGATTACAATAGACTAGTTTGGATTAAACAATTATAATGGTACAGAAGAAATGATTAATTGTGTTTTTATGATTACCAATATTGATTTTTTCTCTTTATTATTTTTATTTTGGATAAACTGTTTTTTAGTTTATATAACACTATTTATTATTTTAGGATTTTAAATAAATATTGTTTGAAAATAGTTCCGTAAATAAAATTTTTTTTGCTAAAATGGTCAAGAATTCCGATACTGGAGTTGTCACACTGACTCGCCGTTGCTGACAAGGCGTTGACGCGGCTGACATGGCATCGCCACGTACATGCCATGTTAGTGTGGAATTCTTTCTTACAAAATATCTTAGTAAATTATTTTTCAGTCCCGTATATAATCCACTTTGTCATTTTAGATGTTTTTCTAACTATATATAATCTAACATAATAAAAGGAATAAGAGTAAGAATATAAAATACTCCCTCCGTCCAAGTTAAAAGTATACATTTATTTTTGGCGTGTAGGTAAAAGTAGTGAAATGATATTTCTTTTTTGGTATAAAAGTAATGATGTGATGTAAAGTAGGGGTATTTGTGAAAAAAATGGGGTATTTAATGAAATGGTTACTTTGTAATTGGACATCTAAAAATAGAAATATGTATACTTTCTAACTGGACGGGGAGTACAAAACAAATAATTTATAGTGTAAAATAAATAGTCATAAGGAAATAAATTATGGTTGTGTAAAATAAATTATTGTCAGGTGAATATTTATGTTCTTGGTTTTTTGGAATAAAATAAAATAAATAAGGGTCTGTCTATATGAATGATTCGGCATGGTATATCAAAAATATCATAATATACCACTCACTTCTGTTGAAATAATTTATATTTAACAATTATATTTAGGATATATTATATATACCACTCACTTCTGTTTTAGTAAAAATATGTGTTTTATTTATTGCGTATTCTCACGATTTACCATTTTCGTCCAAAATTGAGTTTAAATATGAATCTAATAATACAAGTCTTATATCAATAAAAATAAAATAAAATAAAATATCTTAAATAATTTTTTTTAATAAAATAAATAAATAAATATTTGATTAATCCTTCATTTAAAATTTTTTTTTTAAGATAAATTGTTATCTGATTTTTACCTAAACTATAAAAATAAACGATTAATCAATAATTTATTTATTTATTTTATTAAAAAAATTATTTAAAATATTTTACAATTTAAGTCTTATTAAATAAAATTCAAAGTATTTTATACATTTTTAATAAAAATGCAATGAAATGTTATATAATTTATCTGTATATTTATTAAAAACTATAATGATTTATGTATTCAATCATTTTGCACAATCAATTTAGGCAAGACAATACAATTGCCACTGCCCTTCAATTTCATCAAATTAAATTAATACTCCCCTCCGTCTCACCGTCTCCGTCTTTTTATTTTTGTCTGTCTATTTATTCTGTTATTTTTTCTATAAGTATTATCCATTTTAATGTTATTTTAAAATTTTTAATTAATTTTTTTAAAATTTTTTTATTATATTAATTAGTTATATTAATCTTAATTTAAAATATTTTTATTAAATAATAATTATTTTTACTAATACATTATTAATTGTTTACTAATTATATCTCTCTCAATTCCAGTGTCTACAGGATATCATATTTGAGAATGAGGGAGTATAATAGTTAGCGTAATAAAACATACATATAAAAAATAGGGGTGAGCAAAATATCCGAAAATTCAATCCGAACCAAACCAAAATTTAAAATTTGGTTCGGATTTTTCGGATTGGATCGAATTGAATTTTTAACAAATTTCGGATTTTCGGATCGGTATACTTAAAATTCGAACCAATCCGAAATCCGAAATATAATATTTTAATATATTTTTTTTATTATATATATTTAATATTTCATTAGAAAATATTATATTTTAATATAAAAAACTCAAATTTATTAATTATATTTTAATATATTTAATTTTTATATATTATATATTTAATATTATAAAATAATAATAAAATTTAAAAGAATTTAAAAATTAAAAAAATAATAATAAAAATATTTAAAATTTCGGATTTTTCGGTTTGGTTCGAATTTTTTAATTCAGATTTCGGATTCTCGGATTTCGGATTTCGATTATTTCGGTTCGGATTGATTTTTTTTAAAATTTCGGATTTCAGATCGGTTTAAATTTGGCAAAATTCGAACCGAAAATCCGAATGCTCATCCCTAATAAAAAAAAACATAAGCAAATGAAAACAAAAGCTAGCTATATAATCTAATCGATATTACTGAAAAAGAGATTTTCTAAGTATCCCATTGTCAAAGGACGTCCAAAATACAAACCATCCGGATGTAAAATCACTCTGCCTTTTCTTTCAACCAAATTATAAATTATGAAACATGAGATATAATCAAATTGAACAGTAAATATAAGCTCTCTATCATCGTCGTCGGTGAAGTACACCTGGACCGTTGTCCCCGGACTCAAACACACCGTCGTCCTATCCATCCATAGCTCCGTCCACGGAATCGGCACGCCATCAAACTTCATCCATTCGCCTCCGGTTTTTTTCCACACAACGCGGCACTCGCTGCGGCGAATGTCGCCAAGAAGCATGCAAAATTGGGTGGACGAACAACCAACAACACAGTATGAAGTCCTGGTTCTCGATCCTCTCCCTGTATTGTAACGAAATTTGTAGGACCTCTCGCTCGTCACATCGAAGAAGAACATTGCAATATTGTAACCATCGGTTCGTCCATCAGTTACGGAATTGCACAAATATTTCATGCGGCCATCGAAAGGGAAGTTTTTGATGTCATCTTCAAATGTTGTCCCCATACTTTTCAACTCGTTCCAACGCCCGTTTCTGTTGTTAAACACGGTGTATTTTTCACGATGCTGATCAGCGGCGACTATTGTATAGCCCTTCGTTAATGGATCGAAAGCAATGGAGCATGTGGGAATAACTAGATACGGAAAAGGGATCCCTAAATCTGTATACGTCATGGCAGATGGATTCCAGACAACGATTCTCCTTCTGCCACCCCAAGAAAACTTCGAATGTACAAGTATTAGGCCGTCGCAGCAAAGGTTCTCCCTCGGGAAAAAGGTGTATTCGGATCCGAGGTTCCGCAATGGCTTCAATTCATAGTTTTCCGTTAATCTGTAGAGGCAGTGTCCTTTTTCATCAAGGGTCCGGTAAACTATCGATATGGATTTTTCTTGGATTGATGGAGATGTGCAAGGGCAAGGGCGAAGTCCCGACTGCAGATCATTTCGTTCCATGACTTGGAGACGGATTTCAATCGAATGATTTGACGGGTAGTCGCGTGAATATAAGCTCTACAAGATCAGTTGAAACTAAGAACTCAGCGTCTGCCATCTTCAGCGAATCCAATGAATCTATCTATATATATATATATATATATATTATTCCCAAATTTTGAATAAACATTGTTAGTTCGATTCAAAAGCAGTTTTTTTCGTTAAGTATCTTTATGGTAGAAACAGATTAGTAATAAACTACTAATGTTAGAGAGAAGCATATTTATATATTTCTCTACTTTTAGTGAGATAAACAATTCTACTTATTTATTCTATATTTTATTACAATTTTATAAAAATATAAAAATCATAATCATTTGAGTTAATTATTTATTTTATCAAAACATACTATCAAACTAACACCACACAATTTATTTATTACAACAAATTTTTCTATTATAAATAATAGTTTTCTACCATTTTAATCTATCGTTCATTCTCACTTCTCAATAACAAAATTTTTCTATTATTTGAATGGTCCGATGGCATAGGGTTGGACTTGTGACCATTAGATCATAGGTTCAAACCCCCGACACCTCAGGTCACATGTCATATATAGTTCGTCTAGTGTGTCTTTTGCGGATTCTCACACCATAAAAAAAATAACAACATTTTTGCAAAGCAAATTCTTGGTTTTCGAACAATTTGAAACCCAATATATTTTTCAGACACAATTCTCACATACATATATATATATAGATATATATATATACACTACTACTCGTATTCGTGACACCGCACAACATAAAATATTTGTATTTTATTTTGTAAGAATGTTGTATTTGTATTAGATTTTGTTGAACAATCTATATATGTTTTTCTATAAATATTAATAGGTATATTTTGAACAATTTGAATATTTGTAACATCATAAGGGGAGAGATGGTGATAGCTAAAGATGAATTTTCATACAAAAATATAAATGCAAAAATATTGAATCTACTTTAAATGGAGGAAAGACTACAACTCCGATAAGCAACGAAATTTGTTAAAATAAAATCGGAATTTTTACGCGCAGCTCTACAAAACAATTGCTCAAAACACAATCAATCACCACATTATAGAAATAGTGCAACATCAAGATCTACAAATGGCTAAAGCATGAACAACAATGTCACAATTACTAAACTGCATTTATTGATATCTAAGCTACTATATCACTACAAGAAAATATCATTTTTGTAACGAGATTTTTTCGTCTTTAAATCCACTTTTTCCGTTACTAATGATATTAGAGACGGAATTAATGATGGAATTACGTTAACTACTTGATCTTTAGGAATAAAATTCCGTTACAAATATATTATTTTTTTTTGTAGTGTATTACAAACACTGGAATCAAAAAATAAAATAATGCACACCAAAAGCTAAATTTATTTTATAATGTGCCTACAATGTATTTATATTGCATAAATTCCATGTAAAAATAAATAATCATTACATATAGAAAAATAAAAAATAAAAAAAAATAAAAAAATCTCAATCAAAACAATAATTTCGACATACAAACATATCGAAACAATATAAAAGATGTCTGAGGCATATGTATTTTTATATAATACAGTAAGTCATGAATCCTAATAGATTCACCTGGTGCTACTCTAAGCAATTAGTAAGAAAAAATTGTAAAAAATATCCTATATGCATACCCATTATCACTTTTGTTCTCTATTTATCTCGCTGACAAAATATATTCTATATATTTGCAAAATTCGTTATTTTTATCATTTGGTCGCGCGTGATCGCATAAACACGTGGGATATATATTGCCAGCGAAATAAATACATGACAAAAATAATAATAGAGTATAAGTGTGAAATATTACTTGCAATTTTCTCCGATTAGCAATCACCTCCAGAGCATCAATTCGTACCAATAGCCAAGAATCGAAAACATATCAGACTACTAAGAAAATATAAAAAGTAGTAAGGTAACAATTACTTCTACCATTGTCATTTTGTACAAAATTAAATTTTTTATTTTTTATTATACAAAAAATAAAAAAGTAAAAATTAATTTATTGTAAAAAATATTTTGAAAAAAATAAAAAGATATTTTCGTTAGATAAGTTGTGCAAGTTCAACATCACACGCCTTTCCTTTCTCTTGAAAATTATTGAGAATTACCGATGGACTTATTATCGAGAATCATCTTGGATGCGGCCATTGCTATATAATAAAAAAAATAAAAAATAAAAATCACCTGTTAGTCTGCAGGAGCAAATGACTAAGCCATCCGTCTAATTTGAAGGGCATAACGCGGTCGAGTAGTTGGACTGAGCTTTATTGAAGAAAGAAGGGAATTGAAGTTGTTTCAAAAAACAATTTTTTTTAAATATTTTAATTTTTTAAATTAGAGAAGGGTAGTTGAGGGAGACTTTTGAATTATTTTATAAGTTTGAAAATTTTGTGTTCTCTATTATCTCATTCTTTGTCTCATAATGATTTATTTATTTAAATTTATATATTTAAATTTATATATTTATGAATATATTTATATAATGTAATTTTAAAAATTTATTTAGAAATTTAAAATATATTAATATATATATATCATTTTGTATAGCATAATCTTTTTAATAATACAGAAAAAATGTATCAACAATTATTTTTCTTTTTTTCTTTTATTTTATACCTCTTTCATATAAGACTAATTTCGGTTGAATTTTTTTTTTTTTCTCTTTTTGTGTTTAAAATATATTTATATTATTTTTTTCCCCATTCTCTTTCTTTCTCAAATTAATTCGGTCTAACATTTTTTTTCTTTTTTTTCTAAAATATACTTATATTATTTTTTCTCTTTTTCTCTCATTCTCTTTCTCTTTTGTAAAACTAAGTCAGTCAATATTTTTATTTTCTCTTTTTTCTCCTTAAAATATATTTATATTATATTTTTTTTTTCAATAAATTAAAAATACAAAATAAAAATCACAAAAAATATTCTACCATTACAAAAAGAATAGAATGAGGAGAGGGAAGATGTGTGTGAAGGCATAATTCTGAAGCATTAATTCCTAACATTGGAGCTATTGTTAGTAATTAGAAAAACTAGCTCAAAAATTTGAATAGAACATCTTGGGTCTGTTTCTTTAACCCCGGTTACCCCGGTTTGGGGTGATTTACGGTAAGTGTTTGCACAGTAAATTACCCAAAATCGGGACTTTCTCATTAGGGCCGACATAATGTTGCAGTCGACAATTTTTTGATTTTTTTTTTCTCTATTTTAAAAAAATTTAAAATGTATAAATTTCTTGCACACGGTCGTGCAAGAACCCAAATAATTATTCATTTTTTATATTTATAATAATCATAGTTTAATAATATATATACACTATATATGTCATTTTTGTAAAAAATAATTTTATTTTGTGATATAAATAAATAAAATTTTAATAATATATATAATCGACTCATACTATTATTAATTTTAAAAATTTAAAATTAATACATATTTATATTATTATATTTATTACTCATAAAATCAATACATATAAACTTTTCAAACTCAAAATTTACACGTAAAAGAAAAACAAAAATTCAAATCTATCTTCAAATTTAAATTAAAACCAAAGTCAAACTCAATTTTCTCAAAACTATATCAAAACAAACATGCACTATAGACAACAAAATGAAATTGAAGGTTTGCCTTTGACAACCTTGAAAATAATTGTAAAGAGGACAAATTTATAGTTTGATCATTATTTTGAATGTGATAATTCTTTTTGTTCGTAATTTTGATCTTGATTTTTTTATCTTAAATTTCTGATTTTTATCGTTTGATAAAGTGGTATTGAGACGTGTTACGCGCATTCTTGAAAGGACTCTTAATACAATTTGATCGTAGTAGTTTTTTTTCTTTGATTTGGTTGACCCGTGATTTTTATTTTATCTTAAAAGATTTTTTATATCAAAATTTTTTTTTTTTTATCTTTCATCTGCAATATAATTCATTTTTGTTCCTCGTATTCTTGCGAGGGAATTGGATTTTTTTTTTATTAATATACATAATGAAAATTTTCAAGTTAATTTGATTTTTAATATAATATTTTAATAGATTGTTTAATTTTGTAGATCATATTCAAATCTTTTAGTTTTTTTTATTTGAAAAATTCATACAGAAAATTACAATAAATTTTAACATATAAAAATTTTATTTTTATTATATTCTTATTATGTATGTATTTTTTAAAATTTTTTTTATTTTCTATAAATTATAGTATTTTTAAATTTTTAATATGTCTATTATTTTAAAAATTTATTTAATTCGAATAATATATATTATATATATAAACCAATTATAAGTAATTTATAAAAAAAATAATAAATTAATATATAATTCAATATAAGTACGGATTACACGCAATTATATATATATATAAATTACTCATTCGGTCCACGTCCTATTTTCTTATTTGGAATATCCAATCATTATTCTTCTATTTTTTTTTCAATACAAATTTTTTTTTTTTTTTTTTTTACCATTGACATATTTACTACTTTTAATCTCTATATTAGACAATAAAAATTAAAATTAAAATAATTATTTAATATCGCAGTTAAATATATCTATAAATTAAATAATGAACATTCAAATATACACCACCTAAATCCGCCAAAATCTCATTACTATGTTCACTCTGCAATCTGAACCGTCGACAGAATCCGACGACTCAGATGTACTTACCCAATTAAGAACACTTCACCACTGTCAATCATTCCAGGAAGAACAGAACCAGAATCGCCATAACAGTGTTCATATGCACTAAATTAACCCAAAATCAATCTCTTTTGATGAACACCTTCTGCAGAAATCACAAATCTTATGCTGCAATCAGAACCATTTCTTCAATCTCCGTTGCTGCTGCGCTCGATCCACCATTCCAAGAACACGGCCGTGTTCTCGTCACAAGATCATCCTTTATCCAGAATCTCCAAACCCTAGTCATAAATTGCGCCGATCAGAGAAGAATCAGGCAAGGCCAATCCTGCCACGCTCAAATTCTCCACTTCCGATTACAATCCGACGCCATAACCTCCAACATTCTGATCAATCTCTACTCCAAATGCGGCCGCATCGAATACGCAGTCAAAGTGTTCGACGAAATGCGCGTGAAGACCGACGTGTCTTGGAACACTCTGATCGGCGGGTACACTCGAATTGGAGGAAGCAATGAATCCTTAAACCTCTTCATAAAGATGCTCAGAGAAGGAAATGGAATCACTGAATTTGCTCTGTCGAGCGTTCTCTGCGTTTGTGCTTCGAAAATTTTATCCTTCGAGAGCCTGCAGTTGCACGCTTTCGCGATTAAAACGTCGATGGAATCGAATGCGTTCGTCGGCACTGCATTGCTTGATGTTTACGCGAAGTGCGGTTTCGTCGGGGACGCTTCGAAGGCGTTCGAATCATTGCCGGAGAAGAATGACGTAACGTGGAGTTCGATGATGGCCGGATTCGTTCAGAACGAGCGTCACGAGGAGGCGTTGAAATTATTCCTAACGGCGCAGAGGAACACCGTCGAAATTAACGCGTACAGTATTTCGTCGTTCCTCAGCGCCTGCGCTGCGTTGGCGGCTTTGATAGAAGGGAAACAGATGCACGGCGTTGTGTTTAAGATCGGGTTCGGCGCGAATCAATTCGTCGCGGCGTCTCTCGTCGACGTGTACGCGAAATGCGGGAGTATTAAAGACTCGTACGCCGCGTTTTGCACTGCGGACGAGAAGAACGTCGTTTTATGGAATACGATGGTATCGGGTTTCGCCCGACACGCGCGGCCATTCGAGGCGATGATATTGTTCGAGAAGATGCAGCAGATGTTGTACAAGCCGAACGAAGTGACGTACGTTTCGATTTTATCGGCGTGCGCCCACATGGGTTTGTCGGAAAAAGGGCGCAAATATTTCAACATGATGGAAACCGAGCACAACCTATCGCCGAACGTTTTTCACTACGCTTGCATGGTCGACATCCTCGGAAGAACCGGGCGAATCGACGAAGCGAGAGATTTAATCGCGACGATGCCGTTCGATGCTACAGCGTCGATTTGGGGTTCGCTTTTAGCTTCTTGCCGGGTTTACGGAAATGTCGAGGTGGCCGAGGTCGCGGCGAGAGAGTTATTCGAGATGGAACCGAACAACGCCGGGAATCACGTCTTGCTTTCGAACATTTACGCCGCGAATCGAAGGTGGGAGGACGTCGCGTCGGCGAGAAAACTTCTTAAAGAGAGCGAAGCCAAGAAAGAGCGCGGCAAGAGTTGGATTGAGATTAAGGACAAAGTTCATTCGTTTATGGTCGGCGAGAGAGCGCATCCACGGATAAACGAGATCTATTCGAGGCTCGACGGATTGTTTGAAGAGATGGCGGAATTGGGGTTCAAGGGCGAGATTGAACACGACTTGCACGACGTCGACGAGAGCTACAAGAGGGAACTTCTCAAGCATCATAGCGAGAAGCTCGCCTTTACGTTCGGGTTAATGTGCTTACCTTCGTGCGCGCCCGTAAGGATCATGAAGAACCTACGGATATGCGGCGATTGCCATGAGTTCATGAAAATCGCGTCGGCTCTCACGGGGAGAGAAATTGTCGTCAGGGACAATAACCGGTTTCACCATTTTAGGGACGGGCGATGTTCGTGCGGAGAGTTTTGGTAGCGATGGCGATCGAGATGCTTCGACCAAAAGAGGTGAATTGTGCTTTAATTCGTTGTTTTACGATGAATCGAGGTTGTTAAGGAGAGTTCTCGTCGTTCTTTCGCTTTTGTCGTCGTGGATGTAAAGAACTTTTCGATCCATGGGCGCATAAGAGGTGGCCGGAGTCGCTAGTTCAAACTCTACCGTTGTTTTATCGACCGAGCATGTCATACAGAACTTTATCTAGTGTAGCTTTTTTTGTTGGCGTGGTTTGCATATTATTACGTTTGATCGGAGGTTTACTCAGGGTGTCTCATTTGGGAGATTTTTTCAAATTTTTGCTATTCACCGAATTTTTTTCTTTAAAAACTTTTAAATAAAATACTTGCTATTTATATTATATTAAAAATCAATTTTACATTCAAAAGATTATATATATAATTATTTTTATCACATCGTATCACTATTTTAATTCAAAATTTTTACTATTAACTTCAAACTCAAAATTTTTACGGCCCTAAATTCAAACTCAAAATTTTTACGGTTCTAAATTCAAACCTCCAAACATACACACCCTCAATGTACACTGGATAAATAACGGCTAATGTGTTGATTCATGGCCTAATGTGTCGACTATATACTTACAATTTGTAGATAGATTAGGGTTAAAAAACTCATTAGTATAATTATAAATTATAGATTTGAAATTTAAGATTATATAATTAAAATGTGTAATACTTTAAAAAAAAAATGACATAAAATGTAGAATGTACGAAAATGAAAAATGTAATATTATATGTAAGAATAAGGGAGTATATGAATTATATTGTTTTAACACGATTTTAGACTATGTTTGGTTTGTGATTTATTTTTTTATAATTTAGTAGTGAATTAGATGCGATAATTTGTGAGAAAAAATATAACATAAAAAGTGTTTTTTTACATAAAATCGTAAACATTAAATAAAAATCACTTGAAAAATAAAAAAAAAAAATCTTTAGTTTCCTTACGTGTTTTATATTTTGTAGGATATGATTATAATATATTAAATTAATTTATTGAAATATATTTACAAGATAAAAAAGATTAAATATTCATTTAATAGATAATTAAAAATAATGATTATATTTACCTAGAATATTCTTGATTTATACTTATACAATTAATTAAAGCCAAAAGAAGTTTTTAATGTAAATATTATTCAAGATAATTAAAGGGTGAATTTTCTTTAGGTATGTAATATCTTTAACCAACTTCAAATTATACCCGGAATTTTCTATATTAATTTTCTTTTAAATAACTATTTCATAATTATTTTATATAAAACATTTGGAAATAGTAAAAAAATAATATTTAATATGATATTTTATAGAAATAAATTAATATTTGATGTGATATTTTTAAAATAATTTCGACGATACTAAATAGAGTTCATGTTATATTTCTAAGTTAATAGTACCAAAATATTTAAAATATTTATATAAACAAAGTCATAGATAGAATTGATATAATATTAGAAATTTTCGGATTATTTATTTTATTACAAAAATTTTAATTTTTTAAAATAATACTATATTTTATTATTTTAATAATTACTTTTAATTAAAATATTAAAACTTTATACTATATAACACGCGAGTGGATAAGTCCCATTTATTTTGATTCAATTAAAGAGTGACAATAATATTAGTGGTTATTAATTTATTAAATAATTACCTCACCAACCCACACTTCATGGCGTGTTTGATTTGCTTCGAATTTAAATAATAAAATAGTTACCGACATTTATTACATATGTAAGTAAAAAAAAATAAAAAATAAAAAATTGTAAACTGTTTTTGTAGTCTCGTACGTAAAAAATTTTCGTTGTTTTAGTTCTCCAGCGCCAGAGACGCCCGTGTGGCTCGCCGGAGGTGACGTGTCCGTCAGGTGTGGGACTAATTTGCGACATGCTCCACTTACGGGACTAAAATGCTAAGGGTGTCCAATTACGGGACTAAAAAAAAAGTTTACCCAAAAAAAAAAAAGGACCGGAGCTTGTTAACGGCTCTTTAACATTTGATTATATTTTAATTATTACTCATTCCGCCGTGCAAATGTGTGTTCATTTAATCGGGCATGAGTTTTAATAAAAGTGAATAATAATTGTTAATTTTTTATTTTATAGTAAAAAACAATACAGAAATAGAATGATTTTTTACTTAAAAATAAAATGAGAATATTTTTGGATGACAACCCAAAAAGAAAAGTGAGTATAGATTTGAATGACTAGGGGAGTACTATTTTTTAGTATTTTCAATCAAAATCAATATTATGCATCATGCACCGTTTTTAATAAAAATATATTATTATTTTTTATAAAATATTATATCAAAATATTAAATATAGGGATGATAAAGCACAATTCACATTTTACATTCTTTTAAATACTCTCTCGTCCGCCTCTAAATGTTACATTTACCTTTTGCGTCATTGTACTTAACATTAACAATATTTTTATATTTGTATAACATTTTGTACAAATGTTCTTCTATTAGTATTATAAGACACTAATTGAAGTATTTTCGCAATTTTTTCTTAATTAGTACTATATTTTGATATAATAATTAACATTCAAATATCAATACGTAAAAAATAAATAAGACCCTTACAACCGGACGAAAATAGTATTATATAGAGTTTTTTTTTTTTTTTTTTTTAATTTTTATCATTCTTTGATAAAAATATATGTACACAATTTTAAAAATAACTTGTTTGTATTTGTGATTTGCAAAAATAATTGTTGAATAACTAATTTTATAAAAAAAATAATAATATATTTTTATATAAAATTACGATAATTATGTGACTTGAAATTAAGCCCAAATCAAATTCAATTCAAAATTAAACTCAAAGCCTATATATACAAAATAATTGTTGATTGTTTTTGCATTTTGTTGTACATATATATTTGTCCCGATCGATTGTTGTTGTTGTACATAGATCAATTTCGGTTTGGTTGGTATCAAATTTATTTTATTTTATTTACAATGATATCCTTCAATTATTGATGAATATTGTATTGGTGATTAATTTGTCGTAACATCGTATATTCGAGATAATTTGGTAGTTATTGATTGATATGTTTCGTCATTTGTATATGTCGGGTCGTATTGTATCTTGAATGAAAAATTTATATGGGCTTACTTAACATACTCTCTCTGTCCCATAACTAGATATCCGTTTGTTTTTTGCACGTAATTTTAAAAATATTAGTATTATAATGGGATATAGTAGGAATAAAGTATAAATGACTAAAATAACCTTATTAGTATGGTGTGATATAAATGTAATGGTATTTGTGTAATATATTGTAAGTTGTAAAGGTATTTGTAATGTATCTCATATGGGTTTCATAATTATAGGAATTGGTTCTATCACCGATATGGGACTAAACGGAGCCTTTTTACAAATAATCTCTCATGGATTTATTGGTGCTGCACTAAAGAAAAAAATGGATACTTTGTTATGGGACGGATAGAATATAAAAGATAAGTAAATAGTGCACGATTTAATTTAATACATCATGTATTGTATAAAATATTAGTATGTATTGTCTGATGTATTTATATATGTGTGTTATATTAACATATTTTATATGCTGAGATCAATTATAATATATATATATAGTGTGTAGATACTACTTCATTCCTCCGGCTCTAAGGGTCACATTTATCTTTTGAATAATTGTATTTAACAATAAAAATATTCTTATATTTTTATAATTTTTTATACAAATGTCTTTCTACTAGTATAATAAGACACTAATGAAAGTATTTTTACAATTTTTTCTTAATTTGTACTACGTTTTGATATAATAATTAATATTCAAATATTAATATGCAAAAAGTAAATGAGATCCTTAAAACCGGATAGAAGTAGTATATTTTTATTATGTTGATATATATATATATACACTTTATTTTATCGGTTTATATCTTATGTGTTAGTTTTTATTTTATAAGTCGTCGATATTGTATTGACAAATTAGAATCAATATGGTAACTACAGCCTATTTATTGTTTCGATATTAATTAAAAAATAATAGTTTTTATTTATATTTGATAAATAATATACTTCCTTCATTTCATAATAAAGTATCAATTTTTTTCATTTTAGTCTGTCACATAACAAAATATCTATTTCTTTTTTTTCTAACTGTACTATCTATCTAATATTACAAATACTTTTACAACTTACAATATATTAACAAATATCATTACCTTTATATCACACCATACTAATAAGGTTATTTTAGTCATTTATACTTTATTTCTACTACATTCTAATATAATATTAATATTTTTAAAACTACGTGTAAAAAAATAAATGAATATCTAATTATCGGACAGACGAGTATCTAATAAGGAATATGCATTAAAAAAAATAAAAAATTGTGTTAGTAACGAACCTAATAGTAAGATGCATTTCTAGTGTATGATTTTCTCTCCTACTTAGAAAATAGTTTCCCACATTGAATAAATTGGTTATTTCTTGATAGGGATTGTTCAACTTAGTGCTTTATGTATTTATTATTATTAATAATAATGTATTTATTATTATTATTATTATTATTAAATAAAGTCAATGGGTTGGTGACAAGAATATTTTAGCATGTGTTCACCTAATTAACATAGTTTTAGCAAATAATACGATTATTACTTCCTCCGTATCATAACAAAATATCAATTTTTTTATTTTAGTCTGTTTTATAACAAAGTATCTATTTCATTTTTTTAGTAACTGTACTATCTACTTAACATTACAAATACCCTTACAACTTATAATATATTACACAAATGTCATTACCTTTATATCTCACATACTAATAAGGTTATTTTAGTCATTTCTACTTTATACCTACTATATTCTAATATAATACTAATATTTCTAAAATTACGTGAAAAAAAATAAATGGATGTTTTTTATGGGACGGAGGGAGGATTATATATGTAGAGGTAGATTTGGAATTTACTTTAAATTTTGATTTAAAAATACATTGTTTTTTTTTTTTAATTTATTAAATCCAAAGTTTTTAAAAAATAATATTCTCTCCGTCTTATTTACAGTGTCCGCTTCTCTATTTCCCACTTATTTTGTTCATTTTTTTTAAAAATAATTATATATTTTAATTTTATTTTAATTTTTTGATTTATATATATTTTTAAAATTTTTAATTAGACTAATTAATTATATTAATTTTAATTTATAATTTATAATTATTTTTATTATACAATTATTATTTTTACTGATATATTTTTAATTATTTACTAATAT